CATCTATTGACTGCTGTGGGATTTGAACCCACACCATTTCGAATTAGAGCCTAAATCCAACGCCTTAGACCACTCAGCCAAACCGTCTATATCTTAATAAAATAGAATTTATCTTTACTTAAAGATCACATGTTCGGTTCTTACCAACACATTCTTGATCAAAACCATTGCACATGATCTTCTTAGTGCAGTTTACCTGACATCTGATCTCTTGAGTGGTTTAAATGATATGTTAGCAGAGAATTGGGAGTGCACGGGTGCAATGTCGTCATCAGGGGATTAGGGGATATGGCATATAATAAGAAGTAAGCTTTAATGACGGAATAAGTTTTCTGCTCATTTTCGTATTTTGCTTTTGGGATTTGAACCTATGCCCTTTCAAACTAGAGCCTAAATCTGGCGCCTTAGATCACTCGGCCAAACCGACAAAAGATAAGTTAAATCCAATTTTTTTAGAAGTTAGAATATATTTAGTATTTATCATCAATTCTTTCAAAAAGAAAAAGAGAATTAACCTTTAATGTTGAGCCTATGTTTTAGGCTTTTATTGACGGCTGTAGGATTTGAACCCACATCCTCTTACACTAAAGCCTAAATTTAGCGCCTTAGACTACTTGGCCAAACCATCTATATCTTAATAAAATGGAATTTATCTTTACTTGAAGATCACATGTTCGATTCTTACCAACATCCTCTTGATCAAACCCATTGCACATGATCTTCATAGTGCAGTTTACCTGACATCTGATCTCTTGAGTGGTTAAAATGATATCTTAGCAGAGAATTGAGAGTGCACGGGGGCAATGTTGTCATCAGGGGATTAGGGGATATGGCATATAATATGCAACTAGACATTAACACAAAAGATAAGTTAAATCTAATTCTTTTGAAAAGAAAAAGAAGTAACCTTTAATGACGGAATAATTTTTCTCCTCATTTTCGTATTTTGCTTTTTAAATAATTTTTTTTTGAGGATATTTTTTAAACTTCTATTGACGGCTGTGGGATTTTATCCCACGCCCTTTCATACCAGAGCCTAAATATGGCGCTTTTGACCACTCGACCAAACCGTCTATATCTCAATAAAATAGAATTTATCTTTACTCGAAGATCACAGGTTCGATTCTTACCAACACCCTCTTGATCAAACCCATTGCACATGATCTTCTTAGTGCAGTTTACCTGACATCTGATCTCTTGAGTGGTTTAAATGATCTTTGCTAGAGTGGTTTAAATGATATCTTAGCAGAGAATTCGGAGTGCACCGGTGCAATGTCATCATCATGGGATTAGGGGATATGACATATAATATGCAACTAGATATTAACACAAAAGATAAGTTAAATCCAATTCTTTAAGAAGTTACAATATATTTAGAATTTACCATCAATTCTTTCAAAAAGAAAAAGAAGTAACCTTTAATGACCGAATAACCTTATTTTATGCTCATTTTCATATTTCAATAATTTTTTCTTCTGAGGCTATTTTTAAAACATCTATTGGGATTTGAAGCCAAACCCCTTCGGACCAGAGCCTAAATCTGGCGCCTTAGACCATTCGTCCAAACTGTCTATATCTCGATAAAATGGAATTGATCTTTACTTGAATATCACATGTTCGATTCTTACCCCATCTTGATCAAACCCAATGCACTTGATCTTCTTAGTGCAGTTTACCTTACATCTGATCTCTTTAATGGTTTAAATGATATCTTAGCAGAGAATTGGGAGTGCACGGGTGCAATGTCGTCATCAGGGGATTTGGGGATATGGCATATAATATGCAACTAGACATTAACACAAAAGATAAGTTAAAACCAATTCTTTCAAAGAGATAAAAAAGTAACCTTTAATGACGAAATATGTTTTCTGCTCATTTTGGTATTTTGCTTTTTAAATAATTTTTTTTCTAAGGTCATTTTTTTTTGAAACATCTATTGATGGCTGTGGGATTTGAACCCACACCCTTTCGGACCAAAGCCTAAATCTGGTGCCTTAGACCACTCGGCCAAACCGTCTATATCTCAATAATATCGAATTTAACTTTACTTGAAGATCACATGTTCGATTCTTACCAACACCCTCTTGATCAAACCCATTGCACATGATCTTCTAAGTGCAGTTTACCTGACATCTGATCTTTTGAGTGATTTAAATGATATCTTAGCAGAGAATTGGGAGTGCACGGGTGCAATGTCGTCATCAGCGGATTATGGGATATGGCATATGATATGCAACTTGACATTAACACAAAAGATAAGTTAAATCCAATTCTTTTAGAGGTTACAATATATTTAGTATTTACCATCAATTCATTCAAAAAGAAAAAGAAGTAACCTTATTTAATGCTCATTTTTTCTTCTAAGACTATTTTTTAAACATCTATTGACGGCTGTGGGATTTGAACCCACGCCTTTTCGAACCAAAGCCTAAATCTGGCGCCTTACACCACTCGGCCAAACCGTCTATATCTAAATAAAATAGAATTTATGTTTACTTGAAGATCACATATTCGATTCTTACCAACACCCTCTTGATCAAACTCATTGCACATGATCTTCTTAGTCCAGTTTACCTGACATCGGATCTCTTGAGTGATTTAAATGATATCTTAGAGAGAATTAGGAGTGCACGGGTGCAATGTCGTCATCAGGGGATTATGGGATATGGCATATAATATGCAACTAGACATTAACACAAAACAGAAGTTAAATCCAATTCTTTTAGAGGTTACAATATATTTAGTATCAATTCTTTCAAAAAGAAAAAGAAGTAACCTTTGTTGACCGAATAACCTTATTTAAGGATCATCTTTGTATTTTAATTATTTTTTCGTCGAAGGTTATTTTTTAGACATCGATTGACTGCAATGGGGTTTGAACCCACGCCCTTTCAAACCAGAGCCTAAATCTGGTGCCTTAGACCACTCGACCAAATCGTCTATATCTTTATAAAATGGAATTTATCTTTACTTAAAGATCACATGTTCGATTCTTACCAACACCCTCTTGATCAAACCCATTGCACATGATCTTCTTAGTGCAGTTTACCTGACATCTGATCTCTTGAGTGGTTAAAATGATATCTTAGCAGAGAATTGGGAGTGCACGGGTGCAATGTCGTCATCAGGGGATTTGGGGATATGGCATATAATATGCAACTAGACATTAACACAAAAGATAAGTTATATCCAATTCTTTCAAAAAGAAAAAAAAAAGTAAGCTTTAATGACGGAATAAGTTTCTTGCTCATTTTCGTATTTTGCTTTTGGGATTTGAACCCACGCCCTTTCAAACCAGAGCCTAAATCTGACGCCTTAGATCACTCGGCCAAACCGTCTATATCTCAATAAAATAGAATTTATCTTTACTTGAAGATCACATGTTCGATTCTTGCCAACATCCTCTTGATCAAACCCATTGCATATGATCTTCTTAGTGCAGTTTACCTGACATTGGGAGTGCACGGGTGCAATGTCGTCATCACGGGATTATAGGATATGGCATATAATATTCAACTAGACATTAACACAAAAGATAAGTTAAATTCAATTCTTTTAAAAGTTACAATATATTTAGTATTTATCATCAATTCATTCAAAAAGAAAAAGAAATAACCTTTAATGTCCGAATAACCTTATTTTTTTCTAAGGCTATTTTTTAAACATCTATTGACGGCTGTGGGATTTGAACCCACGCCCTTTTAGACCAGAGCCTAAATCTGGCACCTTAGACCACTCGGCCAAACCATCTATATCTTAACAAAAAGGAATTTAACTTTACTTGAAGATCACATGTTCGATTCTTACCAACATCCTCTTGATCAAACCCATTGCACATGATCTTCTTAGTGCAGTTTACCAGACATCTGATCTCTTGAGTGGTTAAAATGATATCTTAGCAAAGAATTGGGAGTGCACGGGGGCAATGTTGTCATCAGGGGATTAGGGGATATGGCATATAATATGCAACTAGACATTAACACAAAAGATAAGTTAAATCCAATTCTTTCAAAAAGAAAAAGAAGTAACCTTTAATGAAGGAATAATTTTTCTCCTCATTTTCGTATTTTGCTTTTTAAATAATTTTTTTTTTGAGGATATTTTTTAAACTTCTATTGACGGCTGTGGGATTTTAACCCACGCCCTTTCATACCAGAGCCTAAATATGACGCTTTAGACCACTCGACCAAACCGTCTTTATCTCAATAAAATAGAATTTATCTTTACTTGAAGATCACAGGTTCGATTTCTTACCAACACCCACTTGATCAAACCCATTGCACATGATCTTCTTAATGCAGTTTACCTGACATCTGATCTCTTGAGTGGTTTAAATGATCTCTTAGGGGATATGGCATATAATATGCAACTAGATATTAACACAAAAGATAAGTTAAATCCAATTCTTTTAGAAGTTACAATATATTTAGTTTTTACTATCAATTCTTTCAAAAAGAAAAAAAAGTAACCTTTAATGATCGAATAACCTTATTTTATGCTATTTTCATATTTTAATAATTTTTTCTTCTGAGGCTATTTTTAAAACATCTATTAACCGCTGTGGGATTGCCTTTTCGGACCAGAGTTTAAATTTGGCGCCTTAGACCACTCGGCCATACCATCTATATCTCAATAAAATAGAATTTATTTTTACTTGAAGATCACAGGTTCGATTTCTTACCAACACCCTCTTGATCAAACCCATTGCACATGATCTTCTTAGTGCAGTTTACCTGATGGAATTAACTCTATAAAATTACTCCCAGTAGTTACGTTATTACCCGTCTATCTTTCATATTAACTTATCCTCCCTGGATAATTAAATCTATGGTAAGGGATATTATATGGTGAATAAGCAATTAAAGGCATTTAATTTCCTCTCCTTTGTTGTTCTAAACATTTTGTGCTGGGATGCTTGTATACAGAGGAGAACTAATCCAGTGTACGTATATATATATATATATATATATATGAACCATGACAATGAATTGAAGTTTATGTTAACATCCCATGGCTTTGTTGGGTGCAAGTCCCGGCTTGTGATTTACGGTTCCATCATTTCCGGCCAAAGCTCCATACTTGTCCTTCCTAGTAAAGCTGGTGCACTCGTACGATAATGTCGCCGCAATCGTCCTCTGTATGTAATTGGCAACATCGTGGCTTGATTTTCCGGCGCCGCAAGTGAGGTGCGCCGGCAACTTGTTTAAGAAATTGACTTGGTAGGCAGGGCTGGGGTTCATGAAGAAGTAGAAAGGGTCCATTCCTTTCCACCCTCTCGCCGTCGTGCCGTGGAACATGCTCATTCTGTTCGACATCGCCACCGGCACCAGCTCGTCCGTCAGCTCGGCGAACAAGGCGGAGAATCGGAGCAAGAACGGTTCTCGGCACGTGGTTCCTTCCGGGCATATGGCCAAGTCCCCTTCTTCTAACAACTTCTTGATCATGTTAGCGTCGGTGACGCGGTCGCGGCTGAGCCGGACGGTCTTGATGGGGGATATGATCTCGGAGAGGCGTGAGAGGGAGTAGGTGACCGCCGGGATTGGGCGGCCCAGGGCGGTGGAGAGGAAGATTGGGTCGAGGAGTGTTCGGTGTGAGCAAACGAAGAGGACCCCTGTTTGGCCGGTGGATTTTGAAGCAGGCGGCGGAGGGGTGCCTTTCACGGTGACTCTCACGCCCAGTGCCCAGAATGCGTAGTAAACTAGCGGCATTGGGAGGAGTGCTCCGGCGGCGATTCTCATGCACGCAAGAAGGAAGCCTACTGGGATCCATAGAACTATCAAGAGTGCCATTAGGGGACTGGGTTTTTGAACCAGCCGGCCGTCGTGGAAAACTATTGGCTTTGGTAATTTGTCAATGCTCAGTGGCTTCACCTTTGGATTTGGTGGTACCATGTAACTTTCCTGTATAACCAAAAACACAATAATTATTATATACTGAGGAAAAAAAAACACTTTTTGTCCCTAAATTATAGAGTAATTACAAAATTCGTAGGAATGAAATTTTCAGCGTCACTTATAATTTAAATTTGCTTCTCATATTTATCATTTATTGGTCAAACAATTAGCCCTATAACTTAGGATGACGAGTGCAATTTTTCATATTTATCATTTATTGATCAAATCAATTATTTCTTATTTGTTTGAGGCTTAAACCTATCACCTCCCACCTAGGGGAGCAAACCAGATACATTGGACTACAAGGTCCTTGAGTAAAAGACATAAAATGAGAAAGGAGAGAGTATATACTAAGCTTGATGACAAACTCACCTTGCATAATTTCATGAAAGGAAAATCAGTCATGCGATCACCAATTCCAACATCTGGAGGTGGCGACGAGGCAAAGGCATTTTGGAGAGCATCGGCTTTGTTCTTGGCGACCAGAATTCCAGGTTCATTTACCAACCCCGTAGCTCTACCCTTAAACGTAGAAATCTCTGTCCCAATAACCATATCAGCGCCCAAATACTCCTTCAGGAAAGCCTCCACCATGATCCTCGGATTCGCAGTGAGCACGCATCTCTTCCCACAGGACGAGAAAACCCGCCACGTCTCCGGGTGCAAGTCGCCGGAATAAAACTTGGGCAGGACGGCACGCGCCACCGACTCGATGTCGGCGACTCTCATTCCGGCGAACGTCGCGAAAACCAGCACGCGAATCCCGGCGGACTCCGAGATGAAATAGTAGAGAAGTCCGGCGAGGGGAGCGGCTAGGATTAGGAAGAGAAGCCGGAAAATCCCGCCGACCTCGAAGGCCACAAGTGCGAAGTAAGGGAATGAGCTGCGGCCCACCAGCAAGGTTCCGTCCATGTCAGCAACCACCGTGTCGTGTTCCCGGCCGTCCGATCTGCATTTGTCGATTGCTGGGAATTGACAAGGTGGGGGGCATGGATTTGTGTCAGCCATTGATGCTAAGCACTGAGTTTATTGGGAATTCATGATGTGTTTTAAATAGTATGAGTTGAAAGTGAGGACAAGTTAGTTACTTGGTTTATAACACCAAGGGGGTGGCGCCGTGATCTGCAAAATCAAAGCTCTCTTTGGAATCGCCGATAAGCAATTGTTGTTATTAGGCTCAAGAAAGCAATATTAGTCGTATAATATTATCCGCATCTAAATTGCCCTAACATTTCACGCCCTGCCTTTTCAAAAATGGCATAACCATTTTATTTGTCTTTTCCTCCAAATTTATTAATCAAATCTAACTTTTTTTTCTTTATAAATTTGTGCTTTTTTTTGTGTGTGTTAAATAATAATTTTAATATAACTTTTTCCACTCCTTATGTCATGTCATGTGTATTATTTATTAGTCAAATTAACTCCTATTTTTTTCATATTTTCTTATAATTTTTAGTTTTTTTATTTAATAATACTTTTAATGTAATTTCTAAATATATAAGTTTTATATAATATAACTATTGGTTTTACAACTTATACAATGGCCGACCAACACAACCGATCAAAAAATAAGATAATTGCTAGGGGAACCAATCACCACCACATCATTAATCCAAATTTATTAGGAAGCCTAAGAGTCGAATATTTTACAAGCCTTTATTTATGGTTCTCAAAAGGTTGAATTTCCAACCGCAAGGGCTCCATACCCTGATTCAACAGAGCATTTGGAAGGATGTTGTTCCATTTGTCGACGTTGTCCCGTTAGTTAGTGGTTTAATTTGTCGACAACCCTTAACAATCCATTCGCCATGGATGGCCAATACTTTGGTACTTGGTACTTGCCTGATTATCTATTCCTCACCCTCTACTTCGACTATAATTTGAAAGTCACCCTAGACCTCTTCCATATGTTCTTTCAAATCACCCGTGTCATTCTTATATTAATCGGGTTTTTCTTAGTTTCTTAGAGAGATCGTTGGAAATTCATTGGTGATCTACGTACATCTAGACCTTTGAAAAAAAAAATTTAGTCCAGTCAATTGATGAGGGGCAGTTGAGCTTCCATTCTGGTTGCACTACCGACCAAGATACAACATAATGGAGGAAAAGATCATCATGTTACTAGATAATGGACCCTTCAAGGAAGGTGGTCGGGGATCAACGCCCTAATTAATCAAGGCTTCGCCAAGTTTTTCTTAGTCCAATCAATTGAGGGACAGTTCAGCTTCCATTCCGGTTGCACTACCGACCAAGATACAACGCAGGAAAAGATCATCATATTACTAGAAAATGGACCCTTCAAGGAAGGTGGTCGGGGATCAACGCCCTAATTAATCAAGGTTTCGCCAAGTTTTTCTTAGTCCAATCAATTGAGGGACAGTTCAGCTTCCATTCCGGTTGCACTACCAACCAAGATACAATGAAGGAAAAGATCATCATATTACTAAATAATAATGGACCCTTCAAGAAAGGTGGTCGAGGATCAACGTCGACCACTAATTAATCAAGGCTTTGCTTCTCGAAGGCATATCCATCATTTGCTTACCCCGGCCAGCTCTTTGCACCCACACTTCTCGCACAAACACCACCTATTGTCTTCTCGAATCTCGACCACTAGATAAGTTCATATTTGAACACATTTTACTCACTATTTAGCCCCAATTTGTGCCTCAATTGTAGTTATTTTGTTCCAAAGGACTCTCATTCATATGAATCATATGCATGTAGTTATTTTAATTTGTTCCCCTATCCGACTACCTGTCTTGCCTTCCCCTTCTATAATATAATAATAATAATAATAATAATAATAATAATAATAATAATAATCTCTTCACACACGCGCGCACAATAACAAATGCAACTTTGAGCAAACCTAACACTACTCTAGAATATGTACTCTCGCTGTCCCATTTTATCTGTCCTACTTACTATTTATTAATTGGTTAAACTTAACTATTTCTTCTTTGTTTATTTTCTTTAGTATTTTAAACTTATTTTTAAATTTGATTTTTTGTGTTTAATAGTACTTTTAGTATAGTTTCTAAATATATAAATTTTGTATAGTAATATTAAACTTAATATTATGAAAAATTGAATTAAAAATAACTACAATCAAGCCTCGTTAACCGAACCAGACACATAAAATGGGACGGAGGTAATATATAACAATAGATAAGACTATATATCATAAAATAAATTCAAAAAAATTCATTTACGTACTTCAATTAACAAAAATTTCTAAAAAAATAATAATAATTAAAAATGTACTCCATACAAGTTAATTCATCTATTAAAAAAAATATGAAGAGCATTATCTATATATCATAGCTATGGATGTCAAGTTATTCGTGACTGAATAATTAGTTAATTACCCTACAATAAGCATGGAATGATCTTACAAAGTGATCATTCACTCTAAAGAATTTCTTAATTTCCTTTTATTATAAATTACTCCAATATATATATATATATATATATATATATATATATATATATATATATATATATATATATATATATATATATATATATTGTAAATTATTCATTTAGTACTTAAAATATAAAATCTAAATTAAAGAGTAATAAATTCAAAAAATCTAAATCAAAGAGTAATCAATTCAAAAAAAAATATATCAGCCTTAATATGAACAAGAGGGGAATGCTCTAAAAAGTGTATTAACAATGGAGGGGCAAAATCATATGGGGACAAAAAAATTAAAAAAAATTAAAGGTAACTAGGATACTGTCCAAATGAGAACTGCCATAGCCATCTATTCGATCTGATCTACTCTCAATTATCAATTGTTAACTGGTGAGACTGAAGTAGGCAGCAGCATTTTTGAGCTCACTCCGGGATAACTCCTCGTTCGATTGTGTTGTGTCTTTAAACGATGACTCCGAACTACACATGAATGAATCACACTGTAATTTACTTTTATAGACGTAAATCATATCACAATAATACAATGTAGTTAGTTATCTATCCTAGCTTTTAGGTAACAAATTTATTATATATACACCAATTCAAGTTTTGTATGACATAATACAATAATTAACATACCTTGACTCGCAGGTCTCCTTCGTTTCAATATAGGATTGTCTATCATCGGCTATAGTGTTATTGAAAGCCACCAAACCATAATCTTGAGAATGCTCATTTGGAAATGATGGAAGTGACATATGATTGTTATAATTAGTATTTTTCACTAGAACATCAGTGGGATGTTCGTAGTAAGATGAGGGTTCCACACCTAACAAATTTGGCTTTCCCACACTCTCACTGGACTCTCCCTCACCCATATCATCTTCACCACCACCAAACATAACATTCATAGGATAAGGCATTTCCGCTGCATTATTCATCCCATAATGCTGTAATAATGTGTGCTGTTGATGATCATAATTATTACTATTATTATTATTGTTATTGTTATGGGAATTAACCACGGAACCTAATAATTGCTGCTCTTTGCAGAGGGCGAGTTGCGTGTAGACGTAATGGAGTTCGTCCATGGTTTGTTGGAGTTGTTGACGGAGGTAACAAATGTACTCGACGCAGCCATAAACGGGGAATCTCTCCCGCATATCGGCTTCGAAAATGATTGATTTCATGGCATCGGCCTTCTGATCCTCGTCGTCCAACTGTTTGAGTATTTTTGTTATGTTGCTGATGCCGAAGAGCCGGTGTGCATTCTGGAACATTTTAGGCTGGTTAGCTGGGAAATAAGGTGCCAAGACGCAATCAGAAGCACACTTTCTTCTCTGGTATTTGCAAGCTGCGCAGGCTGGGGAAGTTCCTCCTTTTACTGTCATGATTTTTTGAAATTGTGATTGTGATTGGTTTGAGCAAAAAAGGAGCTTAGGGGGAGAAAAAATGGGATGGGATTGCAGAATATATGTTGTCCAGGAGGATAGTATCGTAGTAATTACGGTGAGAAAAAGGTGGGGATTTGTTGTGATCTGAGACCAAGTAAAAGTACGGGATCCGATTCTTGGGGAGAGTCGTATGCCTTGCACGGAACCGTAGAACAAGTGAAACTGCCAATGGGGACTTACCACGCCTCCTTATTCCACGCTTTCCCCGTTGGATCATTTTCAACCATCAATAAATCATCATCTTGTTACTGTTAAAAGTTAAGACCACCGCCTTGATATTAGCAAATTCAGTAGCTTGAAATCGTCATTTTCCCCGCTTGAACTCTGAAAAAGCTCTGCTCTGCCATTGAGCCTTTAAATTTTTCGATATCGCCTGGAAATCCGTCTCCAATCAATCTAGCGCATAGACCATCCACTTCCTGAAGAAGGTAATCTCGGTCGTGCTTTTGATGTTTGAACGCTCCTTTAAAACTCATTGCAGCTATGATCCTATAGCAATAGGGTTGATTTCAGGTTTGAAAGGAGGGAGGGATTTCAACTGTAATTAATCTCCAAATTAGCATATATTTTTTGAGCTGTTCATATCTGCGATTCAGATCCGGATCCATTTCTTCAACCTCGGAAAACCTTCATTTACCCTTCTCCTTCTTCTCACCCCTTCTCTTCCTTCTCCCCTCTGAATTACGCCTTGTCCACTACATCTCCTACTTTGCACTATCTCACCGTTTTGGGCCTTTGGCCGCCTGTCACGTCCCCGTCTGCAAATAGCAACAACAGGAAGAAGAAGAATATTATGTTAATGGAGCTTGGACTAGAGATCCTTACTTCCTTAGCCACTGACCTCCAAGCTGTTTATATATATATATATATATATATATATATATATATATATATATAAATCTAGGTGGATATCCTAGTCAACAAAACAGGCAAATTACCTGTTAAACCGACTCATTTGAAGCTTATTCAAATTAAATGGCTTAATTGTTATTTGTCAAATAGTTGAATGGCTTACTCAGTTACTTGTAATAATAATTTTAAATTAAAATATTATAATGTATAAATTATATTATTATAATTATTTATTTTATTATAATAATGTAATAAACGTTAATATAAATATCTAGTCTTATATATTATTTTGAAAATATCTAGTCTTATATATTATTTTGAAACTTATAAAAGATTATATAATATACATCACGTTCATACAACTTATTACAATCTTGTTCCAATAGAAGGTTATTGTCTAGTATAAATTCACTGCAATTCTTAATCCTACACACTGAAACTATATATTTCAAAAAATATGCAACATTATGCAACTAATATTTGAAGTTGAGAAGTTCATCCTTTTTAGTTTCCAATTCTAAATTAAAAAAAAAAAAAAAAAAAAAAAAAAAAAAAAAAAAAAAAAAAAAAAAGCTAACATACAATAACTAACTCCATATTTTTCTTTAAAAACACAACCACCAACTTCATACTTATAACAATATACTTTCTAAGATAATAATCTAAAATTACTATACCTCCTCATCCCAAGTCTTTTTATTTTGATCATTTTCAACCACCACCTTGTCATTAGCAAATTTCACCTCTAAGTTATGCCTTGGTTGCTGCCAATCTTACACCTTACACCTTGTCCACGACACGTCTCCTACTTTGCACTATTTTACCGTACTCTCACCGTTTTGGCTTTAACTCTGTAATGCATGTCACGCAAGTCAAAGCCTTTAAATGTTTCGATATCGCCAAGCTTTCATCTGTCTCCAATCAATCTAGCGTATAGACCATCCACTTCCGGAAGAAGGGTAACCTAAGTCGTGCTTTTGATGTTTGAATGTCCCTTGTAGAACTCATTGCAGCTATGATCCTATAGCAATAGGGTTGATTTCAGGTTTGGAGGGAGGGGAGGGATTCCAACTGTAATTAATCCCCAAATTCGCATATATTTTTCTAGCTGTTCATACCTGCGATTCGGATGCTGATGGATCCATTTCTTCTGCAAAGCCTCATTTAACCTTCTCCCCTCCTTCTCACCCCTTCTCTTCCCTCTCCCCTGAATTACGCCTTGTCCACTAGGTCTTTTACTTTGCACTATCTCACCGTTTTGGCCTGCAATGGTTGTCATGTCTGCAAATCGCAAGAACAGGAAGAAGAAGAATATTATGTTAATCGAGCTTCAAGCTGTTTTTTTAAAAAAAAAAAAAAAATTAATCTATGTGGAGATCCTAATCAACAAAACAGGCAAGTTACCTATTAAACTGACTTATTTGGAGCTTATGCAAATTGAATGACTTAATTGTTATTTGTCAAATAGTTCGATGACTTATTTGTAATAATAATGTTTAAATTAAAATACTATAATTTATAAATTATATTATTATAATTATTTATTTTATTATAATGTAATTATCCAGTGTTATATATTATTTTGAAACTTATAAAAGATTATATAATATACATTAGGTTCATACAACTCATTACAATCTTGTTTCAATAGAAGGTTATTGGCTAGTATAAATTCACTGCAATTCTTAATCCTACGCACTGAAACTACATATTTCAAAAAATATGCAACATTATGTAACTAATATTTGAAGTTGAGAAGTTCATCCTTTTTAATTTCCAATTCTTAAATAAAAAAAAAACAAAAAAAAAAAGCTAACATTCAATAACTAACTCCATATTTTTCTTTAAAAACACAACCACCAACTTCATACTTATAACAATATACTTTCTAAGATAATAATCTAAAATTACTATGCCTCCTTATCCCAAGTCTTTTCATTTTGATCATTTTCAACCACCACCTTGTCATTAGCAAATTCCACCTTTAAGTTATGCCTTTGTTGCTGCCATCTTACGCCTCGTCCACGACGTCTCCTACTTTGCACTATCTCACCGTACTCTCACCGTTTGTAATGCATGTCACATCTTCTACGTCGTCTGCAAGTCGTAAGAATAGAAAGAAGAATTAGAAAGAAGAATTATGGAGAAGAACAAGAAGAAGCTGATGTAGGAAAATTTCATTTTCTTCTCTGTCAACCATCAGATTGCCGCCACATCATCCCCTCACCTCGCCATAAACTCAGATCTCTCGAGTTCTTTAGCCACGGCCTCCAAGTTGTTTTTTTTTTCTTAAATCCATATAGAGATCCTAGTCAACAAAATCCGGAAGTTACCCATGCATGTTATTTCCATAATAGTTTGATGGCTTATTTGTAATAATAATTTTAAATTAAAATATTATAATTTATAAATTATATTATTATAATTATATATTTTATTATAATAGTGTAATAATATATATATATATATATATATATATATATATATATATATATATATTATTTTGGGATTTATAAAATATTATATAATATACATTACATTCATATAACTCATTATAATCTTGTTCCAATAGAAGGTTATTGTAAGTATAAATTCACTTCAATTAAAAGAACAATTGGAAAAAATATTAACATGTTCATCACAAATTCCCTACACCTACACACTGAAACTAGCATAATATTTCAAGTTCACAAGTGATCTATTTCAGTTTCCCATTAAAAAACAGAAAACTAAAAAACAAAGAAAACATAACAAGTTAACATACAATAACTAATTAACTTCATGCTTTTCCTAAAAAAACCAACAACCAACTTCATACTTTCCCTTTCAATCATCTTCCAACCACCAATAAATCATTATCGTTACCGTTAAGACCACCACCTTCTCATTAGCAAATCCCAGTATCTTGATCATCATCATTCGCCTGGTCACTGAAAAAGCCCCGCCCGGCCATATTGAGTCTTTAAACATTTCAATATGGTCTAGCTTCACAGTAAGTTTTAATGCCTGCCTGCCTGCATTTTTTAGTAAATGCATCAACATTATATTAATTTAACCTACCTTTTTTATTTAGCTCTGTCTGGCTTTATGTCGTGTTAGACCCCAATATGGGCATCATAGTGCCACAGGCGAGGCGACACACTGCACCGTGAAATGTGAGCGAACTCAAACGAACCTTAAACTGGTGGAAGCTCGTACGGGCAGGGGCAAGTAAACTCACTGGCTAGCACAGTTGGTCCAGTCCATCTTGACCATACACCAACGTGGACAACCAGAACTTTCCCTAGTTCGGTCTAGCTGAAGAAATCTGCCTCCAACCATGCGCACAGACCTTACATTCGACTTCCTGAATACAGTAACCCAGTCGTGCTTATGATGTTCGAATGCCCTTGTAGAACTCATAGCAGCTAGGATCCTAAAGCAAGCAGTAGGGTTGCTTTTCCATGGGCCGTGGCAATGACAGATTCTAAAGAATAATGATTATGAATATTAATATACCTCTACATAATAATAAGAAATAAAAGTACAAATAAGTCATTCAATAATTAATTATTTGGTGAACATCAATTAAGTCTCATTCAATTATTTGGTGAACATCAATTAAGTCACCTAAGTTTCAAATAAATGTACGAACTCAAAAAAATATTGCAACTGAATTTTTTATCAGGTAACTTACCCGGGTTTTCTGGACTAAGATTGCAATTGTTTTACTACAAATCTCATTTTATAATTGTATCTAATCATTCTTTACAATGAATTAATAAAGATAAGAGAGTGGTAAAGTGATAGTGAGTGCCTTTTTTATACAAAAGGTTTAGTGTTCAAATTTCAATGTAAACATGTGTATATATAATATATGACTTGACATATAAGTATATGAGTGTAATTATAAAGAAAAATACTTCATAGACTCTTAAAAATCTATTCTCAACTTTTACTCCAAATTTGATTGAAAAAAAAAAAAAAAAAAAAAAAAAAAAAAAAAAAAAAAAACCTATTAAATTAAGACATGCCAGTAAAAAATGAGAGGAGGAATATAAATATTTACTTTTTGGTTTGGTAGAACGCCATTCAAACACGAGAATTCAGAGAAAAGTCCCAGAGGCAAGTCAACTATGTGTAGTCGTCGTTCCCGGCTTCCCGTGTGCCCGCCCACCTTAAATTAAACCAATCAACAAGGCCGGGGAAATTCTAATCGAATATGGAATTCTTTAATACAGCCAAGGCTGTGAGGCTGAAGAGCCACCTTGGCAAGTTCCTGGTGGCCGATGAAGACCAACGCAGCGTCAGGCAAGGGCCGCGAAACGCCTCCTCAGAGAAAGTCCGTTGGACGGTGGAGCTAGTTGAAGGTAGCTATCATCTCATCCGCCTCAAAAGCTCCCACGGCGGCTATCTCACCGCCTCCGACGAGCCTTTCCTTCTTGGCATGACGGGCAAGAGGGTGCTCCAGGCCGTTCCTCCCCGCGGCATAAAAAGGTGTGCTTCTATGGAGTGGGAGCCTATAAAGGAAGGGTACAAAGTGAAGCTGAGGACTAGAGGAGGGACATACTTGAGGGCAAATGGGGCAACGCCGCCATGGAGAAACACCATAACTCATGATCTTCCTCACAGAACTGCAACCCAAGATTGGGTCTTATGGGATGTGGATGTGGTGGATATATCTGTGCTCGAGCATTTACAGAGTTACCCTTCCTCATCATCCTACAACTCTTCTTCATTACCCTATCATGAATCTATACATTCCAACATATCTCCCTCTCATCATCATCCTGAGTTATTAGCTCCCTGGCCTTCATATGCAAGTGGAAGACAGGTAGACCTATTGTATAGGGATTAGATGCCTATAAATATATTTATTGTATCAGCAAAATCATAATCACTAATAAGAGTATTGTTTCACTCCTGTGTAGGCACATAAATCTTGTATTTTTTAATTTTTTGTCATTTATTATTGTTTCTTGTTCTTATTAATCTCGACAAATTGAATGCAGGGTGGAATGGAATTTTTCTACAAAGCCAAAGCGGTGAGACTTGAGAGTCATCTAGGGAAGTACTTGGTGGGCGACGATGATGAAGAAAGCGTCCGGCAAAGCCGAAGCGGCGCGTCACTTAACGCGCGGTGGACGGTGGAGTTTGTTAAAGGAAAAGACAATGTAATCCGGCTAAAGAGCTGTAACGGCCAGTATCTTACGGCGGCGGCGGAGCCCTTCCTTTTGGGGATGACAGGCAACAAAGTTGTTCAAACTCTTCCCACCAACAAAACCCACGCGTCATCGTCTATAGAATGGGAGCCTATAAAGGAAGGTTTTCGCGTGAAGCTCAGAACGGCGGAGGGGAGATACTTAAGGGCTAACGGAGCTACGCCGCCGTGGAGGAACTCCGTGACTCATGATGATCATCCAAACAGAACCGCAACTCAGGATTGGGTTTTGTGGGGAGTGGATGTTGTAGACATTATTGTCTCATCGGACGCCTCAGATTCACCGGCTAGTTGCCTGTCCCCGCCGTCAAGTTTTAATTCCGTTCTCGACGACACCGGAACGCCGCCTACCAGGTGGCCCCATATCTAAACCTCTGTAATATGATCACTTCTTTTCCTTTTTCTTTTTTTCACATCATATTTTCTTTGTCCATTTCTCGCAGCGGTTTTGTTCAACGTTCAAAATTGATGTTGCTTTATGTAAAGTCAACTATATATTTTTTTTAAAACACTTTTGAGTGATTACAATGTAATATCTATTCATACATGAGAATCACAGTTATACTACTTCACTACAAAGTCTTGACATAAAAATAAAGTCAACTATATATTTAATTAGAGTAGTTGTACTAATTTCATTAGTTTTATCCAATTGTTTTCTTTTCTTATCATTTTACCTAATCAATAGTTAGTACAAACTGAAAAATATAGTTTTTTTAAATCAAAATTAATATGGATACTTATAACAAAAAAAAAATGTCAAAATGGTTCTTCAAGTATAATAATTTTACTACTTTTGTTTTTAGTTTTTAATTTTATCTAACAATGTATTTGACTAATAAATTTGTATATATTTTAAGTATTTAAATGACTAAAATGTGTATTTTTTTTAAAAAAAAATGAAAGAGAATCAAAATCGTACAAATTTAGTAGTTAAAAATATTATTAAACGAAATTAATAGTTGAGTATCAAAGTGATAGAATGATTATAGCCAATCTAGAGGTGTAAGTTGGAAAGATTATGGCCCTCTTTGGTAAAATGGCTGTTAGTTGATAGCTGTTAGTTGTTAGCTGATTGTGTTAATTAGATGGTATAAATAGTTGATAACAATGGCTGATTGTAGAAAGGTGTTTGGTAAATTAGCTGTTAGCTGATAACTGTTTGATATAATTTCTTTTCTCAAAAAGCTAATTGAAAAAGTTGCTTGGAGTAGCTTTTTGAATTTTAGCCTTTTGAAGTTGCAAAAAGCTAATTAACCAAATATTTATATTGATATTTTAACTAAATCAAATAATTAATAGTGGTCAAATAAGCCAAAATTGACCTATAGGCCAATTTTTTACCAAACCGGGCCAATAGCTAATCTTTAATCTAAAGTCAATCTCTATATCATGATTGTTAAACAAGTTGGTAAATTAAAAAAAAAAAAAAAAAAAAAAAAAAAAAACTACTTAATTAAAGCGCAAAGTTGATAACAAAAACGACAAGGCAAGTGGATTAAAATATATTTTAGGCTGCTAATTAATCCTACGATTCTAGCTGATGTCGATGTTTGAAATTTCTTAGTTGTTGACATTCTTTGTTGTACGGCATAGCATCCCTAACAAAAACAAGTACGACGACTTTGAATCATAATATAACATTTTCCATCTCTTCTAGAAAACATTAAAACTAAATTTAATTACGAAAAATGTTAAATAAACTATGAACTTTAAAAATTGTTATTGAACAAATTAATTTGTCATTTTAATGCATCTAGATTCAATAGTCGATTAACATTAAGTCAAAACCGATAAAATCTTACATGACTTACGTGTCACGTCACAAATGCAAAATCGAACGTCGACTATCGATAAACATGTTTGTTGGTCACCTATTTGCCGGTCTTAAGGACCACTATATCTAAAGAAGGCGATCAACAGTGGCCTTCTTCGTCAATCTTGCCTTCTTGTCAATATGAAGAAAGCGACTAGTGATGGACTTCTTCGCCGACCTAAAAAAGGCGACTAGTGGTCCACTTGGGCTTCCTTACCTTATTGCTTAGGAAGCTCTGTTGCAACTTCCACCTAGCTGATATGAATTTATTCTTCCATTAGTTCAAGCATTCAAACGATTCCTTCCACCATAGTGGTGTTTGAGGGATCACTTATAAACCGAGCAATTCATATTTGACATCCTATGTTTGTTGTAGGTGTAGCTACGGAACGCTCTCTTGCTTTTTTTAAGTTCTTTAGGGTTTCCCTCTGGATCTTGAATATTGGAGGCATTCCCTAAGATCGTTTCTTGTCGCGACGGCTTTTCTATCTAATGTGTTGCTAAGGGTAGGATTCTTGATTCTTGGAATGGATTTTTTTTTATCCCGCCATAGGTTCCTTTCAGATCGATGCTACTCTTGATTTGAGTTTTAGTGGTTGTGAACTTTTTGTCCAAGATTTCCATAGATAACACCAATGGTGGAGTTCGATTTGTCAACTAAAGGGCAAATTGGTGAGCTCACTATTACTACAAGGGTTAAGTAGCAATATACACATAATGTATTGTATGGAGGACAAAAGATAGCTATGAAGAAACATGTATTGTTCGATACTGAAAGGTTATAAAATAATTTCTATCATGGACTAGGGTCCACATAGCATTATGTACCCTGGATTGAAACGACGATGTTCATAATTCATATTCGTAAGGTACAGAATTTCATAACACAAGACAGAAAAAATCATAACATAATACACATACACATGTTATATATTTATTTATTTTTCAAATCTTATTTAGGTACATAATTTGTGTTTATAGGCACAGAATTTCACAACATAAGACACAATTATTAATTTGTTTCAAGTACAAAAATCATACTCTTAAAGTACAGAATTTCATAACACAAGATACAAAAACTTACAATATAAGACACATACACATGCACCAGAGTCCACAGTGCAGTGTGAATCCTGGTCCATGGTATGAGGATTGTAATGGTACAAGACCCTTAATTAAAGGCAGTGCAACGTGGATGCCGCGGTATTTGACGATAGAGTTGGCTTCGGGGAGGTTGTTTGTGACCATGCATGGCCGATTTGTGGCTCCCAAGAGTGGGCGTTTAGCTTGCGGACGTGACCCTTCCACGACGGAGCCCTTTGCGGTAAAGGAGGCCTAGGTCGTAGTAACATAGTAATCGAGTCTGATTGTTTGAATTTCTGTAATGCTTTTAATTCTCGTAATTTAGATTTCTCGTACGTTAGTTTTTTTTTTTGGGTACATTTGAAGCCCTCAAAGAGAGCGATTATCTGACTCTAAGGTTCGGTATTCTCATAGTGTCAGCGTAGAGCAAACCATGTAGCTCTTCCGGGGCATTGTCAAGAATGTTCGTGCCCCAGCTAGTTGTTTGGCCCATGTTGGCCAGGCTATCTGCGCACTTATTCTCATACGTTAGTTTGATTATTAAGCAATAATGTTTGTTGATTGCTAAGGACATCGGGAACGTTAATGTTCACCATGTCAAGAGGTCAGCGAATCATTTGGCTCACGTATTAGCACGAACAACTTATTCTTTATCTGTTCTAGGATTATGGTCTGTTATCCCGCCTACTTATATTTCGGCCTTGTTGAGTTATTAATGCATTTTGAGCTGTTTTTGAAAAAGGGGGTAATTCCTATTCCTAGGATGTTAGGACAATGTATGAAATTTCTCATAAGACAAGGAAATACAATTCCAATTCCAATCCTAACAATCGTTATGCGTTGGACCCGTGTCCAGCATGCTTGCTGGACATGCTGGACACGGGTAACAGTGCCGTTAGGCACTGTTATCTCTCTTTTAAAAAAAAAAAAAAAAAAAATTCAGACCGCTTCGTTATAGGAGTATATGTTCATAATTTTATTACTATATGTTAATAACTGTACATTCATAACTCCATAACTGTACGTTCATAAATCTATAACTGTACATTCATAACTCCATAATTATATATTCATAACTCCATAATTGTACATTCATAATTTTCAAAGCTCTATGTTCACAATTTTAGAGCTCTATGTTCATAATTTTATCACTATATGTTCATAATTGTAAGTTCATAATGTTAGAGCTCTTTGTTCATAATTCGATCAATAACTGTACATTCATAATCTCATAACTGTAGATTCATAACTCCATAACTGTAGATTCATAACTCTATAACTGTACATTCATAACTCCATAATTGTACATTCATAATCTTCGAAGCTCTATATTCACAATTTTAAAGCTCCATGGTCATAATTTTATCACTCTATATGTTCATAATTGTAAGTTCATAATGTTAGAGCTCTGTGTTCATAATTTCATAATTGCATAACTGTACATTCATAATCCAAAAAAAAAAAAAAATAACGCCATTAACGACAAAACGTGCGCGAAATTTTTTTTTTTTTTTAACTAAATGACGCGTTTTTTTTTTTTGAAAAACGACGTCATTTTGGGCCCGTGTCCACAATTCATTGTGGACACGGGTCCAGGGCATAATTTGCCCAATCCTAATCCCTGGGCCGTCCAATGTTATTGTTAAGGTCCATCTACATTTTGGCCAAGAATACATGGCAAATTATCAAATTATAGCGTATACCGGGAGCACAATGCATTGTGTATCCTGATCCAAAACGACGTCATTTTTATAAGTTGGGGGAATTGACACAGCGACGGACAATGTTCCGTCCGTCCAATCTCGTTACAATTTTATTTTTTTGTGTTTATGTGTATTATGTTAAGAGTTTATGTGTATTACGTTAAGAGTTCATGTGTATTATGTTAAAAATTTGTGTGTATTATGTGTAAGAGTTTGTGTATTATGTTAAAAATTTATGTGTATTATGTATTATGTTAGATTATGTGTCTTATGTTATAAGTTTATTCTACTATACAATTCTGTATATATGAAACAAAGAATTTTTTAGGACGCACAATGCATTGTGCACCATGGTGCATGATATCACGATTGGGAATACATGGGTTAATAAATATAATCATAACCATGGTATAAAAACCCAATATAGTATAGAAATGGCCCAAAAGTTTAATTGAAGATTCATGTCTGATTGAGATTGAGGCAGATACAGTTAATCATACATCTCATCAATCTGAAACCATTGGATCCTCCCATTATTCCATGTCTAATTGCTATTGAAGTTGTAAATTATGAAAACAATATAATAGCCATAGAGGTCTGCATGCAGGCTCCGATCCCCCTCACATGCCATCATGAAATGCTAATCGATCTCACATATCATTCTTCTCATCAGATCTATCTGATAATATAATCTGTTTTGATTTGTGTCATCAATCAGGTTGGTTTTTGATTTGTTTGATTAGATTGGATGATATGATTGCAATAATAATAATAATCTGTTGTTTGATTGTTGTTTTCAGAATAGAATCCGGCCGGGCCGGGAATGGAATTCTTCAAGAAAGCAAAATCGGTGAGGCTAAGGAGCCATCACGACAAATACCTAATAGCGGATTCAGATCAGCAATCGGTGTTCCAAGACCGAAGCGGCACGCACAGGGCGGCCAAATGGACAGTGGAATTCGTGGAAGGATTCGACACTGTGATACGCCTAAAGAGTTTCTACGGAAAATACCTTACCGCCATGGACGAGCAATATCTCCTGGGCGTCACGGGAAGACGAGTCCGTCAAACAACGCCTAAGAAATTAACTTCAATTCTGGAATGGGAGCCCATCAAAGAAGGGCAAAAGGGAGTGAAGCTGAAAACCAGGTACGGCAATTATCTGCGCGCCAATGGAGGGTTACCCCCTTGGAGAAATTCAATCACACACGACATTCCTCATCGCCATCAGAACTGGATTCTATGGGAAGTTGATTGCATTGAGACTCTGCCTGATTCCCCTAAGAAGGTGCCGCGATCGGAGGACGGCGACGATGATTTCAACGAATTCCGTCTTTCGTCGTCGTCGTCTTTGGTCAGATCGGCGAGTGAATCGTTCGTTTCGTCGAACCGTGGCCGGGTAATCTATTACTATGTCGCCGACGATAGGGGGAAGGTTGATTATGCGGTTGAAGGCCAATCGTTCCAATTTAAAGGGCATTGTTTAGAACAATTGACTGAGAAGTTGGAGGAATTGACAGGGCTTGAGAGTATCATCGTGTGCCTGCGCAATCCCTTCACTGGCAAGTTTACCCCCCTGCGACTCGCGCTTCCCCCAAACAATGCAACCCTGCAAGTTGTGGTAGTTCCACCTACATCTAGAGGTATATATATACTCTCTCCGTCGACGTGTGTGGTTCGATTAACAAGAAATTATTTTTCGGTGTTAGTATACAAAAAGTTATATATTTAGAAAGTACACTAAAAGTACTCTTAAAAAAAAAATCATATTCAAAAATAAGTAAAAAAATACTAAAGAAAATAAACAAACAAGAAAAAGTTGGTTGGTTTGACCAATGAATAGTAAGTAGGACAGATAAAATGGAGCAGAGGACTTAATATTCTCACCTTAAGCCTTAGGGATGTCAATTGTACTCATACCCAACTGAAAATCCGACTCCTTGCCTCCACGTGGACAGGAATGGTGCCGGGGACAAGGGCGGGGATGTGGACCGCCCCCGAAAAATATATATGTATATAACTATATACATTTGAGCACCACAGAACACACATATGTCAATTACTGTGTATAATATATATATATATATATATATATATATATATATATATATATATATATATAGAGAGAGAGAGAGAGAGAGTTAGGATCATATGAGAACATGTGCTTAGGTGAGAACGTGAGAACACATCATGTGCATTCATCTAATATTTTTTAATGGTCTAGATTAAATTAAGTGTGTGCGAACGCGCATTAAATGTGTGCAAACACACTAAATCGCGTTTGCACACATTTAATGCGCGTTCGCACACACTTAATCTAATCTAGACCGTTAAAAAATATTAGATAGATGCACATGATGTGTTCTCACATTCTCACCTAAGCACATGTTCTCACTGGAACCCTACCCTCTATATATATATATATATATATATATATATATATATATATATATATATATATATATATATATATATATATATATATATATATATATATATATATATATATATATATATATATATATATATATATATATATATATTAAAAAGGGAAACTTGTAATTTATGTCCCTCCATATATAATATGTCAATTATCAATGTCACTCTTGAATTATTAGTGGTGTAAATGTTGCCCCTCAATTTTCAAAACGGTACATATATTGCCCATCTCGTACCGTACGGGAGGAAAATTGAGGGGCAACATTTACACCACTAATAATTTCAGAGTTTCGGAGTGACATTGATAATTGGCATATTATGGAGAGACATAAATTACAATTTTCTCATTTAGAAATATTATAACCATTGGATATACGTACTTACATTGGGATCTATTTTTTTGAAATATGAATATTTTAGTAGTACTTAAGTTGAATATATATGAATTATTTATTTAAATGTAGTTTAATTTTAAATATTTTTATAAATTAGAAATGGGGTAAGGGATCCCATCCCCGGATAATCCCGTGGGGATGGAGAGATTTTCCCCTCCCCTGGCGGTGATGGGGACGTGGACGGGAAATGAGGTAGAAAGTCAGGGGCAGTGACGGGGTATGCCCCCACCCCGCCACGTTGACATTTCTACTTTAAAATAATGAATTTTTTAAATAATTTTTATTGAATCTTTATAGACTTTCATGGAATGACTTGTACAAATCTATAAAAGTCTGTAGGACAAACATATATAAATTTTTAAAAACTTATTTACAAAAAATAATTAAAAACTTTAAATTAAATACACCCTTAGAAACATTGTATTTAATAGCTTCTATGCATACATTATTTATAATTTTCATACAAAACCTTTTGTAACATATAATATATTTTTATAAATAAATCCATTACAAAAAAAATAATAATAATTGAATACAAACATCTTTTTAAAAATTCTTTAAAAGTTTAGATGGAATAATATTTCATTTTTTTTAAGTCTTTAAACAATTTTTAAAGTATTGATTAAATTCACCCCTTATTCTTTTTACTTCTCTCTCTTATATCCTCTTTCTTTGCTTTACTCCATGCATACTGTTTTAATTTTTCTGATTTCTAAGTGCACTTTTTTATGTCTTTCAACAGCCGCAAGAGAATTTATGCCAGAATCTGCGCTACGTTGACAGTGTGCTCCATGTATATATCATTATCTATATGTATTCCACCACAAAGCTATATATAGAGCACCACTGTTTTTTTTTTTTTTTTTTTTTTTTTTGAAACCACCGATACCACTGTTATTGTCTCTACTTCGAGCCTTTTATTCCAGCTATGTGATGTTTATTAGTAAATTTTAAATTTCTCATTTTTTTTTTAGTTAATTAGACACCATTGTTATTGTCTCTACTTTGAGCCATTTATTTATATTGTTAATTAGATGATAAGTTGAGACAATTCCAGTTGAGTTGGTCTGATAGTTCACTTGATAAGGTATAGTTCCTTGGTTCAATTCTCCATGGGAGCTACCTACTAGTTTACCTCAAGTTAAAGTATAAATTTTTGTATGATGCATAAAATATACGGTGTATTGTATATGAAGAAAGAAACTACAAAATTTAAAATGACTTTAGTTTGAATAAATTAAAATTTGTAAAGTTTACAATAGAGATTACAAATTTGAAAAACTTTCTTATATATAACTTTTGTTGTTGAACTACTTTGCTCATTGTTTATATTGCATATTAAAATTTTCAAGTTCTTAAGATCTGTAACTATTGGAGCATCAACATTTACTTCATCTTGATCTAACTTTAATGATAGGTTAAAAAAAAAAAAAAAAAAAAAAAAAAAAAAAAAAAAAAAAAACTTTAATAGGTGAAGGAAATATAATTAATTGAAAAAATTATTGTAATTTATATAATACTAGAAAATAAGGATATAAATATTTTCTTTTCCATCAAATAGAGGGGTACAACCCAGGCCCTATATATTCTAGTCATGCCTCCCAATGATTCGACGAGGGAATGAAATGCCCATGTAGTCCTCATTCATGGCCCGCCCAAACTTCAACTGGTGGTTCTACAATCCTCAACCAATCTTGTGCATCGATAGCAATTACATTACAGACGCAAAAAAGTTCTTGAAAGAACAATCAAATAAGATTATACACGTAGAAAGCTATTAAAATAGATAAGAGTATTTTGCCAACTACTATCTAGTGTAATGTAATAGCACTTCTGTTAATATTTCAAGTTGATGATCACAAGATCGAATCTCAGTGGTGGGACAATTGATTCTTTGGGCTAAAAAGTTTGAAAAAACACGGAACATATCCTACCTTAAAAAATCATCAAAAACAGAGAAAATATACTACCTTAAAAAATCATCAATGTTTCAAAAAGATATTGAGTGCGTTATTTTCACTTTGCTTAGAAAGCTATTAAAATAGATATAGTGCTAAAGTGCATACAGTAGTTAATGCCTAGAATAGTACAATGGTGATGAAATGACAAAATGACTCGACCATCATTGCCATATTTCATAACAAATTCCAACTTTCATGCCTAATAAATGTCTATAACGACTAGTTTAAATCTTCAAGTAATGTTAGAGTGGAGAGATACTAGCATCTGTGTGAGGGCAAGATTAAAAATAAATAAATAAATAAATAAATAAATAAATAAATAAATAAACAAGAATGTGGCTGCATTTTCTAGTATGCAAAAAGGTGGCATTCAACAAGTCAGATATAAAAAGTACACCACTGTTCAATACAGAAACTTGAGAATAGAAAATCAGAGAGGCCATTGCATTACAATATAAGATAATGATCCTAACACAAATTTCAAAAAAACTATTAAATACTATAAGTTAATCATTTTACCCTTCTCTTTTTACTTGAGGAATCACTCCTGCTGAATCCTCGAAAATCATTGGTAGAGTCAGCAGTGTTCTGCTTCTTTAGGCCTTTCTTCCCACCAAATCCAAATTTCGAATTCCTATTTTCTCTGCCCTTCGGCTTTTTATCAAATCCTTTTTTATTGTTACCACCACCTGGTCTGCCCTTCCCTCCAGAACGGTCTCCAGGAGACACCCCTGGGCGCTTCTTGTTTGGCCGTTGGAAAACCTTGCCATCTGACAAATCCAAATCAAGTTCAGCATTTGAATCTTTGTCAAACCCATTTTGCTGCCTTTGTTTCCTCCACTTCTTGACAGACTCAATTTCTTGCTTCTTCTGCATAGCCCTCTCTTTTTGTTTTTGTGCCTGCACCTCTTTCGCCAATTTCTTGTTCTCCCTGGCCTTCTTCCTTTCCTCTGCCTCCTCGATCTTCTTCTTTTCTGCTAAGAGGCGTCCCTTAACTTTCTCCATGTGGACATCAGACTTCGCCATTTCAGCATAATAGTCAGATGGCCTCAAAAAAGGAACCCCATCAGATTGAAACTTGAGATAGGCTTCTCGAGTTCCCTGCAAGGCCTGTGTGTAAAATGAGAGCTCTCTTGCCAAGTCATCATTCACATCCACTTCTCCCTCTTGGTCTATGTCAATTGAGAGCTTATGTATCCAACCCGCTTTATCAGGCCAGCTGATATCTCCAAGCTTGTCTAGCAAACCATCCTTATTGTAAACAGCATTCCTAGAAGGTTCAGCCAACTTCACTACTTGCTCTTGGTCCTCTTCTTCTGATTCAGATTCAAATTCAGATTCTGAGGATTGCTCTTCAGGATCCCCCATCCCAACATCCTTCATTGATTACAAACACAAGCCAATTACACTCAATAGCAAAATAAAATAGACCACTTTAAAAAATGCAAATAGAAGAATGTCAGCCACTATAGCTGCCATTAAGAGCTTTATGTTCAAATTATCTACAATAACTATAATAATTGCTCAAACAATAAATAGAGAGAAAAAACAGCTTTTAAAAAATAATCCCACAACTCTAATCTAAACATATAAAGATGCACTAACAAGAACTTTAGTACCTAATAAAAACAAAAACAAAACAAAGATCTGGTTAGGATCTATGTCCCTACATCCTTCAGTACAGTCAACAGCACAAATGTGATCCAAAATCTTATTATTTTGGCACCATCATCATAATGGTGCATAATTAGCAAATGCTAATAACTTCAAGTGCAGTCTCAATATTAACAAATTTTATATGTTTGGTTACATTAAAAAGATTGACTAAAGCTGTTTAGAAATCAAGCTTTAAAATTAACTAATTCAGTGTTGGCAAATAAAAGCTGTATATTTAGAAACTAGTTCTATTCATCACAAAAAATCAAAATTTAAGAACCAATAAGAATATATTAGAAAGAAAATAAGCAAATAAAGAACAGTTAACAGTAAACATGATATGTAAAATAGACCCCGCAAAGTATTGTTCTACAATCTTCTGAAAGGTTTTCACCTTTCCCTTTATAATACCAAACTACTCCCTTTTTCTCTGGGATAGAAAGGTCTTGGAAAGTCCTTATCCTATGGGATATGAAAAGGCTTGGACAGATCCCTCTCAAATGGGAGATGAAGAATCTTAGAAATGTCCCTTTCATGTGGGAGATGAAAGGTCTTTGGTATTCTTTATTATTTTGGTCCAAACAATTAGTCTTAGGAAATCTTTGGATTACTGCATTGATGGTCTGCAACTATTTAAGGTCTTCCAATCCTCTCACGGCTCATAACATTAAGTCTCATACACCAGAGTTGAGTAGAAGTGAGAGAAAACTATTCTACAACAGCACCAGCACAACTACATTCAATCATCATGAACAAGAAAGCTATGGCGGGAGGTTAAGCAAGTTTATTCATGTTCTTACATAATCTATGCCTAGCTTAAGTATTTGAGCTGCTGGAGAAATTGAAGGATTTTGTTAGAAAAGGCAGGTTAGAGGTAAGTAGGCTGGGTATACAGATCCCCTAAAATATTCTTGAAATAGCAGTCTTAGGCATTTTCGTTAATATTATTTCGTTAGATTTTGATAGAAAATCAAATTTTTATAGGAGACTTAAAGGGTAGGAAGCTCCCAATCTCTCTCAGAATCATCACAGCAAAATTGTTGTTATGTAACCCCAATTCTTCAAGTTCTAAGCAACCTGATAAATTCTTTGAAATATCACCATTTTTCTTTCTTTTTGACTACTGCGGATGGAGATGACTCCGGCGTGAAGGACGGTGGATGGTGAAGACAGTTTATACAATAACAATTACTGGACCAAGAATCTATGCCATTTTAAGAGGGAAAATGAATTGTAATAATGAAAACGTGAATTTGAGAATGTAGACCATTTTAGGGCATTGAACAAACAATTATCTATCTAGGCATAAATATGAGAATTAGGAACCTGGAACCACTTAATAGTGAAGGCCTTATATAGGTTATTTAGATTATTGCAGAGTGACCGACTTTGTTTCGGCATTAACAATATAAATTTTTATTTATTCTTTGGAAAAAAATTTATAACCTACAGCTGCCTAAAACTCAATCGAAAGATAAATTATACGGTTTCATCCGGCAACGAGCCGAAATTTAGACGGTCGCCGGTGCGCCGTTATTTCCGGAGACCGCCATTAGGCGGTGGAGAGACGATACCGACAGTATTAACAAAAATACCGGTCACCGATTTCGTTCGACAAGGACGACGGTGGTACGGCAGAATGAGACAGCGAGGGAGTGGCGGCGCTGGGTTCGGCGTGCACCACCTCCGTTCGGTCGCTGCTCTCTCTTTCTTCTCCTTCGAACCTCTTTCCATTTTGCAGCAAATTAAACTGGAACTAAAAGCAAGAAGAAGAATGGAATACCTGATTTTCAGCAGCTTTAGCCATTGGTCTTCAGGCAGAAGTGCAGACCACAAGTTGTAACGTCAGAGAGGGGAGAAGGAGAGCTAGGGTTTTAGGAAGTGAAGGGGAGCTAGGGTTTTAGGAAGTGAAGGGGAGAAGGGTCTTACCCTATTTTTCTTGACCATAGCCCCAATGCCCATTATCCTGACATTTGATTAGCCTTGGCCCATCCTCTTTTTCTCATTCTTTTAGCCCAATATACATTGTACCAATCGTTATACCCTACACCACGGCGCACATAGCTCTGTGCGTCGCGCGCCTCCCAAAACGACGTCGTTTTGTGATCGTTTTGAGAGGCGCGGTAGGAAGTTGCTGAGATTATATATTTTTTTTACACAGTTATGTGTATTTGTTCATACAGTTAGATGTATTGGTTCATACAGTTATGTACATTCTTTTATACAATTATGTACATTCTTTTTATACAATTATATACATCCGAATTAGAAAATTTGTGTGTATTATGTTAATAGTTGATGTGTATTATGTTAAAAGTTTATGTTTATTATGTATTATGTTAGATTATGTGTATTATCTTTTAAAAAGAGTATGTATATTTTGTTATATAATTATGTACATTCATGTATACAATTATGTGTATTCTAGTATAACATTATGTACATTCTTGAACAGCGGGTTTTTTTTTTTAAGAAAAAACTACTGCCATTCACTGGGGCGGGAAATTTCAAAAAAAATAAAATAAATTAAAACGACGTCGTTTTGCATCTGGGCGCATAGTGCAACGCGCGCCGTGGTGTAGGATATAAATTGCCACATTGTACAATAGTATTTGCGGTGGACAATTTTTAATTTATACTCCTCACAAATATGTCAGTTATTAATGTTACTTATAAATTATTATTAGTAGGGTAAATGTTGCTCCTTAATTTTTAAAATGTGACATATATTGTCCCTCTCCTAATAGGAAGAAAGATAAATATTATTGTTGATGGAAAGAGAACAAACGAAAAAAAGAAAAATAGAGGGAAAAAACGCAGTCTTCGAATAGAGAAAACGACCGATAACCACATGTACATGACTAATAATTCGGGGGGCAATATATGTCACGTTTTGCAAATTGATAGGCAATATTTACACCATCAATAATTTAACGGTGACATTGATACTTGACATATTTGTGAGGAGCATAAGGAAAAATGATAAATAATTTAATTGTAATAATTATTAAAAAAAAATTGTCAAATAGGTCATCGAACTACACACCAAAATTGCAATTAGGATATTGAACTTAAAAAACGTGCAATTGAGTCACCAAACTAACCAATTTAATGCAATTAATCCAATTTGCAGATTTTTCAGATTTCCAACAGGTCACCAAAATTTAAGATATTTTTAAAAAATAATTATTTAATTTTTTTTAAATACTGCCCTCTTCAGCCTGTTCTGTTCGTCGCAGATTACTGCGATCGATCTGATGGTCTGTGCTGCTGGGAAAAGAGAAGACCAAACTACTGCATTCTTCAACATCTCCTCTCTTTTTCCCGACAACGCATACCATCAGATCGATGGCAGCAGTCTCCGGCGATCCTTGTTATCCCCGGCAAACAGAGCATGTCTGACGAGAGGCTACAATTCCGTTAACTCCTCTCTCTTTCCATCTTATGGTCTGCGTTGCTGCACTCCCGGGAAAAAGAGAGGAGAGGCTAAAGGTCGTCGCTGCTCAGCCGTCGAAGCTATAGCTCGCCGGATATGACCTTCGTTGTCGCCGATCTGCTTGCTTGCCATGAAGATAGGTCGTCGGCAACTGCTCTCCAACAAAATTCATGGCCTCCGGCTGCGACTTTAAAAAATAAAAAAAATAAATAATTATTTTTTAAAAAATACAATTTGAGTGACCTGTTGTAAACCTGTAAAACCTGCAAATTGAATTAATTGCATGAAAGTGGTTAGTTTGGGGACCCAATTGCATGTTTTTTTAGTTAAATGGTCTAATTGTATTTTGGTGGGTAATTTGATGGCCTATTTGACCCTTATATTCATCATAAAAATAAATTCAACGACCAATGTTTAGCTTAATTACCATAATAATCACTAGGTAATTATTATTAGTCAATTATACTAATATATGTGCAATTATACCTTTATACCTTAAGTATATTCATTTTTACCATATCACATTAACAGGGCGTTTGGTTGGAGGAGAGGAATTATGTGGGAAAGGAATTGTAATTCCATGGGAGTTGAATTACTGGGAATAAAGTGGGAATTTAAATTCCAGTGTTTGGTTGACACCAATAGAATTACTGGGAATTTCAATTCCAATGTTTGGTATACATGGGACTTGAAAGGGAATAAGTAGTATAAATTCAAAAATGTCCATTATTGTTGTTAGACATTAATTTTATGTTAAAAAAGGAAGGGGTAATTTTGACTCATCACTATCTTTTTTTCTTAGGAATTAAAATACCGGGGGACATGAGATTTTAATTCCATGAAAATGGGGGAATTGCAATTCCCTCCAACCAAACTACGGAATTTAATGACCTTTGGAATTAGGTGGGAATTAAGTGGGAAGAGAATTTAAAATCCCTCCAACCAAACGCCCTGTTAGTGTTTTCCTCAACCTCCATATCTGAATGAATTAACTATAATTATTATAAAAGTCTAACAACCCATTTTAATTGTAATTATACTAATATCTGTATAATTATTAGCTTAATTAATACAATAATTATTAGTCAATTATACTAATATTTGCGTAATTAATTTTTTAATTTACATAATAATTATTATGTAATTAAACTAATATTGTACAATTATACCTTTATACTATGTTTAATGTTTAATTGTAATTATACTAATATTTATGTAATTATTAGCTTAATTAACATAATAGTTACCAGGACTATGTGGTCCAATGGTATCCGGGTTGGACTTCCATTTGGAAGGTTGTGAGTTCGAGCCTCAATGGAGGCGTTATTAGTTCTTTGTGTTTCAGTAGGTTGAGAAAGTATACGAACAGATACTACATTGTAAGAGCTAGTAGCATTTCAAAAAAAAAAAAAACATAATAGTTATTAGATTTTAGGCACAAGTGTCAAATAGACCCATCTACTAGCAAAATTTGTTCGATTGACATTTTTTTACAGGTTGCTAGCAGGTTGCCTATTTAATTATTAAAAATAAATAAATAAATAGAATAAAAAATAAAATAAATAAAAATAAATAAATTTATATATATATATATATATATATATATATATATATATATATATATATATATATATATATATATATATATATATATATATATATATATATATATATCAGCCACCGGCTGTTCTCGCCGGACAGCCGGTGGCTAATATTCTTTTTTTTTTGTTTTTTAAATTTTAATTTTTTATTCTATTTGTTAATTTATTTTTAATAATTATATAGAAAACCTTCTAACAACCTATAAAAAATGTCAATTGAACAAATTTAGCTGGTGTATGGGTCTATTTGACACTTAATTTAGTTCGTGGTGGGAATTGAGCACTTCGCAGTAGTAGATGAGTTTATTTGACATTTGTGCCTAGATTTTATATAGTAATATAGTTTGTGTGGAAAATTGTAAAAGTATAATTTTATTTTTATTTGTACTTCTGTAGTATAGATATATATATTGATAGATTTATAATTAAAATAATTACATTTAGAAATTAAAGAATTAGCATTTAAATTTTGTATGACTAAAGGTTGGTGCACCTGTTATGTTATTGCAGAACACAGACCACTCTCTTGGTCTTTGCTACGCGTCTCACCGTCACGAGATTGGCAGATGATATTGTTGAAGCAATAATATTTAATGGGACACATCAAGAAACTAAAATTCTTATCCCCCGAATGTCTCTCACCTCTTATGATACGAGATTGCCTTCAAGTTCCAGTGTAAACAATTCCCGTTGATGCTCGCATATGCTATGACTAACAACAAAAGTCAAGGCCACTAACCTACGTTAGGTTATTGCTGAAAAAATTAACTTTTAATCACAGTCAATTGTATGTGGCTTTTTTCCTAAGTCACTCATCTTGATGGGCTGAAGGTTTTAGCTCTAAACGAGGATGAACAAAATTCTGTTACTACTATCAATATCGTCTACAAAGATATTCTCAATAATGTGTAATTCAAACTAGTGATATTATGTTTTATTTTTATACAAAGATAAAAAATTGCTATATATCTACATAGAAAATATATATTCCATACAAATAATTTATATAACTGAGTTGCTACACAACGAGCTAGCAAATAATTTCTATAACTGAGTTGCTACACAACAAGTTAATTAGTCCAATTAATACAAATTCTAAACACTGATATATAAAATATAAAGTTCAACACCGAATGCGTATATCTACACGTTAGTTATTAATTAGGCAAATATTACTCAAATTCAAGCAATAATAAAATCAAAAAATATAATCAATTTATTTCAATAATTTAATTACATTATATAATATTTGATGCTATAATTGGTATAATTGTATATATCAATCTAAATATTCTTAAAATATTATAACAAAGCGAAGAATAATAATAGTCTCGCCCGCAATTCGCGCTTAGTTTAATATTTTGCTCCTTCCAGCGTATTTTCTTTCCTTCCTTCCCTTCTCCTTTTCGTCTTCAACATTTACATGGATGCTGTCGCTTGCGTATTGCGTTTATTTCAGTTTCTGAGCGGTGAAGCGAGTTGGAGGAAATCTCTATATATCTATAGATAGAGAGAGAAAAAGGGATACATAGTTACATGCACATATATACATATTGTGAGCGAGAGGGAGAGACATGGATGCCGTAGAGGGTAATGTTGGAAAGAAGATAAAGATTGGAGTATGCGTAATGGAAAAGAAGGTGAAATGCGGCCCGGAGGTTCTGTATTTTTTGGCTTGATTATTATTTGTATAAACAGAAAATGCTATTTTGCAGACCATGCACCCTACAATCATACTAATTGCTATTCAGAATATCAGCATATATTTGATGATATGCATTCATTATATTTTATTTTACGCCACTTGGTTGGATTGATTTCAGGTTTTCTCCGCTCCTATGGGGCAGATTCTGGACAGGTTACAGGCATTTGGTGAATTTGAGGTATTCTTTTTCTCTAATCACTGCAATAATGCAATGTAATGCAAATGTGAAAGCATTCTATTGGCTCAATCCTATAGTTGAATGGTGGAATTTTTATAGAACCCGGCCGCCCTGTAGTTGAATGGTGAAGTTTTTTTTTTCGCTTGGGTCCCAAGGGGAATTGCCACTTGTGGCAATCGAACCCGAGTTATCCCTAGGATCATCCCCACAAAGAAGCTCCTTTGCCACTTGAGCTACCCTTTGGGTTGTCCAATGGTGAAGTTAGTTGTTGGTTTATGGTTGGGTTCTTTGTTTAAAAGCTATACTATACTATACGTTGCTTCTCATGAGGCCTTGTTATATATGCTTGTAGGTTCTGCATTTTGGTGACAACATTATCCTTGGGGATCCAATTGAGAGGTATATTAATTAATTTCCAACTCAGTTTGTGGCTTCACCATAAAATTTGCATTGGTTGATTGTGTATGTAATTATGTATGGATGCATTGCTCTGTATGTGTGTGTATTGCGGGTTACAGCTTTCCATAAACAACTGTATATCATTAATTACGGGTAATACACGTACTGCATGATGCCGTCACCAATCTTCAATTTTAAATTTATTTTATATAGATATAGACGTTTTTTTAATTTATTGCAGCTGGCCAATCTGTGATTGTTTGATTGCCTTCTATTCTACTGGTTATCCTCTGGAGAAGGCTGAAGCCTATGCTGCGTTGAGAAAGTAAGTATTTCCTACTCTTTAATGTATCCATAAGTGTATAGAAAATTAGAAACTATGTCTCCCCCAATAAAGATTCTGCAGTCTGCTGGAGAATTGAAGCAAACTGAGAATGTTGTGTTGTCTTGATTCTTGAATGAATACAAAGCCAAGCCAGGCCAGGCCATCACCATTGGGACCAAATAATGATGCATATATATATATATATATATATATATATATATATATATATATATATATATATATATATATATAAGAGTAGTTTAATTTGTTAGATAGATGTAATTTTGCCTTATTTTGGTGCTGCTCTTAATTTCAAATTAATGTCATCGATCTCATATAGGTACAGTACGCACGTGTATTGTGCTTTTGCGAGGCATTTCTTCATGCATGTTTTGTAATTTTGTATTAACTGGTTAATTATATTCAGGCCTTTCCTTGTAAATGAATTGGAGCTACAGTATCTTCTTCATGATCGAAGGAAAGTGTATGAGGTGTGCCTATATATTATAGAATTACTTGTCTCTTTACTTCATTTAGTGTAGGTGTAGTTGGAATAGCCAATAGCCAATTCAAGGATGCCATGCATTAGTTTATTCTTAGCTTTCTGATGTATTGAACTTTAATTTGGTTCCTTTATTTCAGCGTCTTGAGACGTGTGGAATTCCAGTTCCAAGATACGCTTGTGTTAATAGACAAGTACCCTATCAAGAGTTAGATTATTTTGCTGAGGAAGAAGATTTTGTTGAAGTTCACGGGAAACGCTTCTGTAAACCTTTTGTGGAGAAACCTGTTGATGGTATGTACACGCCCGCTCCTACAAATTTCAATTCTCTTTTGTTACACTCCCTGTGCGCCATCAAAATATATCTCAAATTAAATTTCCTTTCATAAATTAATTATTATAACACCTACTGTACGTCACTACTTCTTTTTCATGCATGCATATGTGCATGCAAATATGCAATCCACATTCATAATCAATTTGTTTTGTTTTGGCACAGCTGATGACCACAGTATAATGATATACTACCCTAGTTCAGCAGGGGGAGGAATGAAAAAGTTGTTCCGGAAGGTGAGATGAGATGAGATGAGATTTTAATATGATGTGACTACATATGCAATGCACAATTAAGCCTATATGACCTGGTTTGGTTTCAATATATATTATTACATGTCTATAACTTGCCCGTACGTGTCTTGAATTGTGCTAGAGTTGGAGTGTAACTTGAAAGTATCCATTTCTTGCCACTCAGCTTCTACGTCTATCTTCCATTACTTGAATATATCCATATTTATTATAGTGTGCAAAGCAAATAATTTACTTTGCTGTGTCTGGCCTGCTAATGAGGCTGGTTTGGCTCAGTTTACTGGCAGATTCAGCCATGGACTATTAAAACATCTTTAGGATCCAAGAATATAAATGCATGAATTAAAGAAACAGCATTATTGTATTGCATGCAATTATGAGATATCGAAGATCAAAGAAAGAACAGACAAGACATTTTTGGCTGTGGTTGCTTTATACAACAATGATACGGAGAAAGAACTGGACTACACTCTTTCCACCCAAAATTGACTACAAACTATCAACAATGAAATTCTCACCCTCTTGAATTGTTTGAAAAATCTGATGTCATTTTTGCATTATTGCCCGCCACTGGCCCTAGCTTGCGTTTGTATTCATCTCATTTTTGCTTCCATATATTATTCAGGTTGGAAACCGCTCAAGTGAATTCCATCCTGAGGTTAGAAGAGTCAGACGCGAGGGGTCCTATATTTACGAGGAATTCATGCCTACAGGAGGAACAGATGTTAAGGTTGCTAAATTTATGTTTTTGTATATATATACGTTAATTAGATATTTAGATTTGTTATGGTTTATGATATATTCATGCTTGAAACAGAAGCTTCTATCAATGTCATTGTGAAATTCTCATTGCATATTCACATTCAAATTGTCTTTTCTTATGGTTCTTTGGTGTAATTATTGGACACACTATCTTTTCCATCAATTTCCTTTCCCATTCATATACATGAAGTGATGAAAGCATCAGCTTCTATGTTTATTCCACAAATCCACGCACAATCATATCATCTCCTGTATATTGATAGTCCTATCAGATCAGTTTCTTATTGCCTAAAGTGAGTTAATCTTGGCAGGATTCATCTTCATATTGCTTGAATGAATATACACGAGCTTTTCCTCGTATCCTCCAATTTCTCTTTACTTATGTTTTAGTTTGATTTCTGTTATGTAGGTTTATACTGTTGGCCCTGAGTATGCACATGCAGAGGCAAGAAAATCCCCTGTTGTTGATGGTGTTGTTATGAGAAATCCTGATGGAAAAGAGGTAAGGTGCCTATTTCCTTGAAGAAGATAAAAGAAAATTTGATGAATAACTTGAGGGTGTTTAACCAGTTACATGCTTTTCTATGAAACAATAATAATATTATATTGCAAGTAATGGGAAAACTTACCACTGCAGATCAGATATCCTGTTCTACTTACGCCTACAGAGAAGTTGATGGCAAGAGAAGTTTGTATTGCCTTTAGGCAGGAAGTAAGTCAGTTTAAAAATAACTATCTACTTGATTTCATTTTGCCTTTAATTTGTTTCTCAGCCAAAATTAAAGAAAAAGAGATACCTGGGAAGTGGGATTTAATTAATTAATTCTGACATTTTAAGAGACATATATACATATGTACATGTTGATGGGGTGAACATTTTTTGGTTTTCAGGTTTGTGGGTTTGATCTCTTGCGTTGCAATGGACGTTCATATGTTTGTGATGTGAACGGGTGGAGCTTCGTAAAGAATTCCTACAAGTAGTATTACTTGAGAAAATTAAACTTTGTATTTGTCATCAAGTTTGATACATTTGATTGGAAGTCCACGCACTCTAATTTGCATCACAATCAATCAAAATAGGTACTATGATGATGCTGCTTGTGTGCTGAGGAAGATGTTTCTAGATGCAAAAGCTCCGCATCTTTCATCAACTATTCCACCTACTCTGCCATGCACATCCACATGCACAGCTAATGAACCAGTTCAGCCTCCTGAGGGGTTAACACGCCAAGGGAGTGGGCTTATTGGCACATTTGGAGGATGTGAAGAGCTACGGTGTGTAATTGCAGTAATTCGACAGTGAGACCACATACCTCCCACTACCTTATTTCTCTCCCCTTCCCTCCCCCTCCCTCCCATTAATATTCTTTCTGAATTTCACCAGTGGTGATAGAACTCCCAAGCAGAAAGTGAAACTCAAAGTTACTGAGGAAAAGCTCTTAAATTTGATGTTAAAATACAATGGGGGAAAACCTAGATCTGAGGTCAGCTCCTTCCTCGTTCCCTGTTCCCTGTTCCCTTTTCCTCTCTCATTTCTAAGTTCTAAGCAATGTTGTAAAAATCGCTAGGCGCCTGGGGACCGCCTAGGGTGCCTAGGCGGGCGCCTAGAGCGCCTAGGAGGCCGACCGCCTAGCGCCTAGGCGCGATTTTTGCAACACTGGTTCTAAGAGACACACTCTTCCCTTTTACAGACCAAACTGAAAACTGCTGTTCAATTGCAAGATCTCTTGGATGCCACAAGAGCTCTAGTGCCACAAGCTAGGTAAACTCTATTTTTCATCTTTTAACAATTGATTTGAAATATTTTTATATTCCTCTTCTGCTTTTGTATTTCTTTTTTCAGACAAAAAGGGGTAGTTTTATATCTAAATTTTTAGTTGGCAGAAGATAATCTGAACCCATGTTATACAATGGAGTTGAGTTGCCATAATTTTGTAGATTTTGGGTAAAAGAAAAAACTTAAAAACTAAAAATTATATCTAAAAAAAAAAGATTAAGCTGAGCAATAGAGCGTGTGTGTGTGTGTGTGTATATATATATATATAAATTATATCTTTAAAAAAAAGATTAAGCTGAGCAATAGAGAGAGAGAGTGTGTGTGTGTGTATATATATATATATATATATATATATATATATATATATATATATATATATATATACGAGCGCATTTGTAAGTATCTTTCGTGGTCAATCTTATTATAAGTTACCTACGAAGCAGTAGTTGTAACACACACTATTAAAATTATGTGCAGTGCATATGTTCAGAACATGAGGCAACTATTGAGTAAAAAACTTTGTCTCGGTATATGCTATGTGATTCGTATAAAAGTTGATAAGCCCTCAGTAATTTAAAATAAAATCTATATATTTTGATTTTTTTTTTAATTTTATTATTGAAAATTTGAATTAAACAAACAATACAATTCATAATGTTTGCGAGATATTATGAAATTTAATATATTTTCTCCAATAATATTAGTATCAAAATTAGTCGTAATAAGTAATTTTAGAAGATTAGACACAAAAAATCTTGTAGAATTTTTTTATTTATAATTACCTCCAATCTCCAAGTTATTATATATGAATTGTACACAGATGAAAATACTCAAGTGCCCCAATATAAAAGATAAGCTATGCTACATGCATGAAAATGCTTCCTATGATGCTCACAGACCATTGCAATTTGCAAATGTGTGAGTTGACATTGATGTTATATTGTTAATAATAACTATATGAATACATTATATTGGTTGTCCTCTAAGAATATTCTTAAGGGAAAATTGTAATTTATGCCCCTCCATAATATGCCAATTATCAATGTTACACCTGAATTATTAGTAGTGTAAATGTTGCCCCTCAATGTTCAAAACGGTACATATATTGCCCCTCCCGTACTGTATGGGAGGGGCAATATATAAACCATTTTGAAAAATGAGGGGCAACATTTACACTACAGGAGGACACTATATGTACCGTTTTTAAAATTGAGGGGCAACATTTACACCACTAATAATTTAGGGGTGCCATTGATAATTGACATATTATGGAGGTGCATAAATTACAAATTTTCCTATTCTTATTAAATATAATTAAGAAGGTTTATTTGGGTATTGTTTTCAAATAGATCAAAAGAAAAGATAAAGGGTAAGTGTTCACAAACAAGAACAAAGTAAGGTGCTTTTGTATACAGTATAGATATAAAACAAAAGTGATATGCTACAACTATCTAACTAATTGGCAGTTGTTATATAGACCTGATCCAGAAAGTGATAGTGAAGCAGAAGGCCTTGTTCATGCCGAAAAACTTCGTCAAGTTAAAGCTGTTCTCGAGGAGGTCCATATAATATATCTTCTTGGATTCTGCTTTCTATTATCGAATTTATTGGATCTGTGAATACTCAGTAGTATATATATACACTTACAAAACTGATAAAGATATGTATCTGTATATAAAATATGAATTACATTTCTGTATTTCTACTTTATTGTTAGTCAAGTTGTGAATCCGTCTCCAGGGGGGGCATTTTTCTGGCATTTATAGAAAAGTTCAATTGAAGCCATTAAAGTGGGTTAAAGTTGCAAAATCTAATAGTGAAGGTGAAGAAGAAAAACCTATAGAAGCTCTTATGATCCTTAAATATGGTGGCGTTCTCACTCATGCTGGTAGAAAGCAGGTACTTATAATCTATATGCTTAATGGGTTTTGATCATTTTGTTTTTATTAGTGATTGGGTAATTGAATTGATGATAATTGCTGGCCTGGGCCATTGCCCATTGAAGAAATTATTTTCTGCTTTTTAATAGTGGACTTGCTCTAGTCTTGCTAATTCTTCTGTGGCTTTATGTGTTTTTTTCAAAAATCTTTTGTAGGCTGAAGAACTGGGAAGATATTTTAGGAATTATGTGTATCCAGGTTAGCAAATTTTTCTAATTATCTCCAGTTACTTAACAAGCGACTTGCTTTTGACTGCTCAAGCTAACTTTTTCTCAACTTATCTTTTCTTGATATCAACTTTAACTTTCATTTTTCTTTTTTCCTAATTGTTATCTTCTGTGATTAAGAGTATAGTGTTCATATCTATTGTATGGTTTCAATTGGCATAGCTTCTGGTTGAAGCTGCTGCTATTTCTTTGCCATCTCTTATTTTCAACTTCAGGTGAAGGTATGGGCTTGCTTCGTCTTCACAGTACTTATCGCCACGACCTTAAAATATACAGCTCAGATGAAGGGCGTGTACAGGTGAGTTTTGTAGCTTATGTATTTGGATTTGGTGAGCGCCACTTATTTCCTACCTCCCTCCCTCCCTCCCTCCCTCCCTTACATGTGCTTTAATGCTTTATACATTCCCTTTCATATGTTCTCTAACTATGAATTTTTCCTGGGGTGTGGTTTGTTGGTAGATGTCAGCAGCTGCTTTTGCCAAAGGGCTACTAGACTTGGAAGGAGAATTGACACCAATACTGGTCAATGACCTTGATCTACAAGATGCACTTTGGGATTGTCTTTTTTTTTTTTTTTTTTTTTTTTTTTGGGTTATTGAGACAACTGATTCTTTGGCCCTTTTTTTTCCCACTTATAGGTCTCCCTGGTTAGCAAGGATGCTTCTATGTTGGATGGACTTGAAACCGCCAGTATTGAGATGGAAAAAGCAAAGGTTTCTCCCACCATGGCACTAGATTTTTATAATTTATGTACTAAAAACGGAGATAATCACATTTGATATTTACTCAATTTCATCCAAGTTTTTGTCAATTTATTTGGCTTAAATAGCAGTATTTTACTACTTGGCTTAATAATAACTTAGTATAATGAATATTGGATTGATTGTATGAGATCCATAAAGCAGTTTTTTTTTTTTTTTTTCCTTGTCTGAATTAAATTAGGCCACAAGAAACACTTGAAGTTTCATATCATGCTTTATAGCCATAATCAATTTCACAATCTACCGTAGATATTATGAGACAAGGAAGATGCATCCCTTTGTTCTTTTGTATTAGTTTATGCATATGCCATATGTACTCCAAGTCAAGCGTCATTTGATGTTTCTTTTTTATTTTAGACATTCCTTTGTTCCCTTCTCAGGCTAAATTGAATGAAATTATAACTTCTGGAGCAACATCAGCTCATAGTACTGGATCATCAGAGAAGCCTTGGATGGTTGATGGGGCTGGAGTCTCTTCAAATGCATCTAAACTCCTTCCCAGACTGGTAAGTTGATATGAAACTACTATTTTGAAATCAGAACTCGTAGTTTCATGAATCTTGCTGACCTTTTGCTGGATATTTTTTTTACCCACATTCTACTTTACCCCTGCCCATGAATAGATTATTCTGAATGTCCTGATCTTCACAAAATGCATGTGTTGTAAAATATAGAGGAAGAGAGAAGGAAAATAGTTTCTGTCTTAATGAAAAAAGAAGATAGAGCATACAACTTGAATTAGAAAAGATAGGAAAGGCTAATCCTGGAATCCCTTGTAATCAGGGATTGATTACCCTCATAACCAGGAATTTGATTAACCATTTTCGTTATTTCTAGGATATGAGTGTAAGACAAAGAGCAAAGTAGACTATGTATAAAGTGTATTTACTTATGAAGAATGTACAGTGGAAGGGAGCTACTTATACAAGCTAAGGAAAGAACACAACCACTTAATTCAAAATTCAAAACCAAGGGTTGAGAGTAATTCTTTCAATTGGAACCTACACTCTCTAACACTCCCTCTCAAGCTGGAGCATAAATATCAAACATGCCCAGCTTGTCATATACGACATCCAACTCCCGCTTAGCCCTTTCGTGAATATGTCAGCTAGTTGATTGATACCACTACGAACATGCACAATAGATATCAGCCCTTGTTGCACTTTCTCTCGTACAAAGTGACAATCTACCTCAATATGCTTCGTTCGCTCATGGAAAACTGGATTATTCATAATGTGTATAGCCGCACGATTGTCACACCACAACCTTATAGGTAGTTTCACTTCCACACCTATCTCTTTTCGTATATTATGCACCCAGACTATTTCACTGGTCACATGAGCCATAGCTCTATACTCGGACTCCACACTTGACTGTGCCACAACACTTTGCTTCTTACTCTTCCATGAGACTAAATTGCCTCCCAAAAGCACACAATACCCTGTCATCGACCTCCTGTCGCTAGGTGAGCCAGCCCAATCTGCATTGGAGAATGCCTCAACACCTGTGTGTCCACAATTAGTATAAAGGGCCCCCTTCCCAGGTGCACTCTTCAGATACTTCACAATACGAATAGTTGCTTCCCAATGAGTTCGTGTAGGCGAGCTCATGAACTGACTCACTACACTTACAAGGAACGCAATATCTCGACGAGTAATCGTGAGGTAGTTCAACTTTCCTACCAGTCTCCTATACCTTTCTGGATCTTCAAACACCTCCCCCTCATCTGCTACAAGCTTGACACCTTGTTCCATTGGCGTATCACAAGGCTTTGACCCAAGCAATCCAGTATCACCAAGAAGGTCCATCACATATTTCCTCTGTGAAAGAAATATGCCCTTCTTTGAGCAAGCAACTTCAATACCCAGAAAGTCTCTTAGTATTCCCAAATCTTTAGTATGAAACTCAACTCCAAGGAAGGACTTAAGAACATCAATTCCGTCTGCATCACTACTTGTGATTACAATGTCATCGACATACACTATCAACAAACACACCCACTGTTAGTATGTTTATAAAAGACGGTATGATCACAAGCACTCCTCTGCATTCCAATTCTCATAATTGCACTGCTAAACCTCCCAAACCACGCACGCGGGGGTTGTCCCAGACCGTACAAAGACTTCTTTAATTTGCACACTTTCCCAAACTCCCCCTGAGCAACAAACACTGGTGATTGCTCCATATAAACTTCTTCAAGTAAATCACCATGTAAAAATGCATTTTTGACATCTAATTGACTACTTGCTAACTTGAAGCTCAACTGATTGTCTCAACAAGCCCTTAATTAGAACATCTGCAATTTGCTGTGTGGTTGGTATAAATGGAGTGCAAATTACCCCTTCTTCAAGCTTATCCTTTATGAAGTGCCTATCAATCTCAATATGTTTTGTTCTATCATGTAGAACCGGGTGTCAGAATACAATTTCATAAGAAGACTCAATGGTCTCCAAAGATCCGCTAGAACCCTTTTTAACCAAAGAACTTCACATACTCGTTGAGCCATTGATCTGAATTCTGCCTTAGCCCTTAGCACTGCTCCTTGCAACTACACCTTGCCTTGGATTAGAATTTCCTACAGATTGAGATTGAAACATTTTATGTAAATGCTCTATTTGTTCCCTTGTGAATGGATGGCACTGAGAATGACTATTGCCCTGGATCTGAATTGCTCACTTGAAATGCACAGACATCTCCCCCCAGCTTGTTGTCACTAGATTTTTTTCTTCCAACCTGCAGCATCAGGTTTCTCGGGTATGCCATGGCCTTTTACAATGACCACACCAAGGCCTTTGCTTTCCTCCTTGTCAATCTCCTTCTAGGTCTGAGCTTCGGGCAACAAGATCAGACCCCTCATTCTCTATTTTTGTCTCACTAATATTCTTCAACACTACTTGCCTCCATGCTTGCAATTCTGAAAAAATTGCCCTAATAGTTGGCAAGGGTTTTTGTCCCAAAACACATCCCCAGACCTCACCGAGTTCTTTATTCAAACCTGCCAAGAAAGAAAATACCCGGCTTCTTTCAATCGTCTTTCTGTACTGAGCACTGTCACATAGACTTTCCCATTCTTATTCCTCAAATAGATCCAACTCTTGCCAAACAACCATCATCTCATTATAACATGTTGTTAGATCATGCTCACCTTGTTGCATCTTCCACATTCAGGTATTCTACTCATACAATTGTGAATAATTATGCAAAATCTGAGTAGGTTTCTTTGATTTCTTCCCAAACATCATGAGCCGCCTGCAAGAACATGTACGGTTTTCCAATCACTGGCTCCATAGAATTGATCAATTAGGCAGTAACTATTACTAGCTAGCTGTTTCACTTACCATTCAAATAGCCAAGTTTTCCTTTGCCATCAATTGGCAAGTGCCAATCACACGAATTGAGACCACTCAAGATAATTTTTTTCAATTCAATTTATGAATGGTAATTTTAAGGGAACTATCCGACAAGGAAAAACCTGCTGGTTCGGAACTTAAATTTTCAGAGAGAGAAACAACAGTGGGTTGAGCATTTCCCTCCGATATTGTTTTGCTACTGGTAGCATTTGAAGAAGCTAAATCAAAGCCAACCATGGCAGCTTTAAAAATAAAAAATTTAACCAACGCTCTAATACCATGTAGTAAAATATAGAGCAGCCTTAAATCTCCAGGCCAGCTGTCCCACCCAAAAGTGGTGCCTACAATTCAGCGATGAGATTAGTCACTGTGTCCGACGGTGGAAACCCTGGGTACACCCAACAAAAAAAAATATAGAGGAATTGAAAAAGGAAAATAATTTCCATCTTTATAAAAAAAGAAGATAGAGCATACAACATAAATAAGAAAAGATAGGAAAGCCCGCATGGGTAGCTCAACGGGTCATAGAGGTGAAACTTTGGAAGAATGACCAGGGATCGAGTCTCACCAGCGGCAGTGTGGGAGCAACCTCTCAAAGTGAGGGGGGCTTCTTGTGCGCAGTGAGCACCGGTCTAGCCTCTATGGTTTATGTTCAGTTGAGTCACCATGATTTACATCCTCCCAAATGCTCTGTCGGGCCGGGGTGTGGGGGGCCCTTAGGGTTGGGGTTCAGCCTTTTGGAAGAAGAAAAGATAGGAAAGGCTAATCCTGGAATCCCTTGTAATCAGGGATTCATTACCCTCATAATCAGGGATTGATTAATCATTTCCTTTATTTCTAGGATTTCAGGATATGACTTTCCTAAATTTGTTGAAATCTATAGCAATTAAATGCCTCATTTATGGACAGCATGTAACATGCTTTTTCAATTTTTGTATTCGAAAATCTTCTTCACCTGTAGTCTATGACTTCATTATAATTATGCCCATGGTTCTAATTTGTAGAAAACTAAAAGGAAGAAGCTATTCTACGAACACTGACCTTGTTCCCATTTTGTCTGTTTTTCTGTGCTCTTCTACATGTACAAGACTCATCTATATATACAAGATGGAAGGTTATCTATGCCTCTTCATATCCATGTCTGTTCACCTATTTTTGACTCTTCACATACTTGTCTGTTCATTTCTAACATAATTTATACTTGTGATCAGGTAAAATTGACTAAAAAAGTTGCAGAACAAGTTTGGCTTCTTGCAAAGGATGAAGATGAGGAACTTGCTGTTGCTGAGACAAGATCATGTGATGTTATTCCACCATATGATCAAGCTAAGGCACTTGGTAAGACGAACATAGACGTTGATCGCATTGCTGCAGGTTTACCATGTGGCAGTGAAGGATTCCTTCTCATGTATGCAAGGTGGAGAAAACTTGAAAGAGAATTATATAACGAACGGAAAGAGTGAGTACTTTTCTAACTGACTATTGTGGTTTTCTTAAAGGCTTTCAAGAAATCTTCTGATCAAGTTTTTTATATCCGTTTTCACTATCCCAAGAAGTAATGGCAGGATAACCTAGAATTGGAGTGCTCATTCATTAGAGCAGTTCAATTGAGTATTGGACACCATTATTCACTATTGATTGCACATCTTTAATGCTGTGTTTTTTATTGCAGACGCTTCGACATTACACAAATTCCAGATGTGTATGATTCTAGCAAGTAAGTTATCAACAATGGAATCTTCACTTATCTATCTTACTATTGGTTCTTGAACAGAGGAGATTCTTCATTCTTGATGTGGATTGGGAAACCTATCACAGTTAAGTGAATATTATTTATATCATTTCTTATTATCAGAAACAGAATAGTAAACACTCTGTGCCAACAAATTGTACAACAATCCTTTTTATTCTTACAAAAGGAATAAATGTAGTGATGATGAATGACATCTTGCTATGTTTTTGTTCACATGTGCTCTTTCAGTGATCTCTATTTTCCTTTCCTGATTTTTTTGCTTAGTTTCTCCCTCAAGTCCGTATCAGTATAAGTTGCTGCTCAAGAATTCTCTGTGATTGAATGTGTATTTTTCTATTCCTAGTTCTGAACATGAAATTCAGTTTTCCTTGAATCACTTGTGCCGTTCAACCATTCTCTATAGCTCTATTACAAAGGCCTATCTTCACCATTGCTATCCCATGCAATGTTACTGAACAGAAAACATCACGATTTGATGAAAATTTTCATTACTTTCTTTTCTTCATCAATCTTCATCAGCTACAATTATTTACCTTTTTTGTTGGAAATCTTATTTTGTCTCCCGTGGGATGTTTTAACTATTTTTCAAGATTTATAAATGTTGTTCCCTTTTCTTTTTTAACAGGTATGACCTTTTGCACAATTCACATCTAAAACTGGAAGGATTGCATGAACTCTTCAAAGTTGCAAAGGTAAAACAACTATCAGTGACCAAACATGATGTCAGAAAATACTACAAACCTCTTGATGAGCAATACACCTTTAATGCATTTTCAACTGCAATTATCTTACCAATCTAGACTTGCAGGCAATGCATGTTTAGCAGTTCATCTATAGGTTATGAGCCTCTATGTTATTCTAGATACTTGTACTTGTGAGCATTGGCAGCATAACATTTATCATGGCTCTAACTAAATGAACAGAATTATGATTCTGCTGTTTGTCTTTCAGTTACTTGCAGATGGTGTTGTTCCTAATGAATATGGGATTAATCCACAGCATAAGCTAAAGATTGGATCAAAGGTAAATTCATATTTTTATGCCTGATGGAATTGTTTATTCTTTTCACATTTTCATACTGTACTATGGTGTAAATTTGGAATAAAATTGTTTATTATTTTCACACTTTCAAAGAGTATTATGGTGTAAATCTCTTCCAGTGTCTAAAGTATCAGTCTGTATTGTATTTAGTTCTTCAGTTAAAAATCTTGAGCATTTAGTTGAATACTTGATGGACTACCAAAAACTTAAAAGGTTCAACTCAAACACATTTAAACCTAAAAATCCCAATCAACCTCACAGAATTTGTATCTCCATTTGTCCTTATGACCACTGAATCCATTAAGTTGAACCATCATATCTTATTAACTTCTATCAAGCAAGTTCCAATCTATTTATTCCTCTCTTACTATTTGGTTATGTTTCATTTTAACTTGGTATATGTATAGTAAGTACTATACAAGGGAATGAGAGAAGAATGTTGAAAAGAGTTGTGCCTTTCTATTGAGTGTATATATATTTGTATGTTGTCTCTCCATACATGAGTAATATACAACGAAAATTCTTCTCATCTTCCTAACATGGTATTAGAAGCCAAGACTTAAAAAATAAAAAACAACTTCTTTTTTGTCGCAATAATAGTAGGGTTATTGTTCATTCGAACTTTTTTTTTCACATTACTTGTTATTGGTAAGATTTTTTGTCAAATTAGTGCTACCTATCTCTTCTAAAGTCTCCGGTGACTTGACCCAACAAGTCTTGTAACCGGCTCCCTCGTCACATGCTGTCACGTTGCCAGCACTCCGACATCATGCGCCAACATGTGAGACCATCTCTGGCAGGTTTCTCCGGTGAAAATCTCTAGATATCCTCATTTTCCCTCCACGATTGTATCTGTGCCATCCATTTTCTTTTTGGTAACAATGTCCCCTCTTACAAAAACTCTGATAATTCCGGTATTGTTTGTCTTTCTGCAAGTAATATGCTTACTATCTCAAGCTCTACTTATGTTCCTAATTTGTTCGGAAGTCGGGTGTTCACTTCCAAAAGATTATGTGAATCTCAAAATTACCAATCTTGGTATGATGTCGTTGAGTTATGATTTATGGGCCAATGAGTTGCTAACCACTTACAAAAGGGAGTGGGTAAGATACCAATTTGGGAAATGTTAGATGTTCAACTATGTAGCCTCCTTTGGCAGTCAAAATTTGAAAGTACTCGGAATCAAATCCTTGGATGCAACATTGTCCCAGGAACCATTGAGTTGTTTAAGTGTCTCTTGCTGGTAACCTCCACTCCAACTGTTCACACATATACTTTTGGACTATCTGCTCTAGTGTCGCAATGAGGTCATGGACGAACTAGAGATCGTGGTGGACATAAAAACACTAGATTTTGTGATTTTTGCAATAAATCTAGACACACAAGTGTTGCTTAATCTCAACCGCGGGAGAACCAAGTTCCCGAACTATTTCCGCTACTAAATATGAAAAGTTTGTTCGATTTAAAGCCAATGACAAGGCTTCCGGTGTCACTCTTGTAGCCTACACTGAAGGATCTCATACTGTCCTTGTATCCCAATCTAGCCTAGCTTAGCGGATCATGGGTTATCGGTTTAGGTGCCTTTGAACATATCTTTGGTAGCTCATTTTTATTTTCTCATTTCACCAATGGCGAAGAAGTTGAATCCACGTCCCTCTCTTATTTGTATTCTTAGCCAGGTTTGTCTGCCGGTATCTCGCTTTGCCAATCTTTTCCGGTGAAGGGTTCTTGTCGGAAGACCAACAAGAATCTATGTTCACTACTCACTAACCTGTGTCAGAACTCCATCAGCTATTGTTTAGTTAGTGTGGCGATGCTCCCAAAGTTAACGTAAATCACTAATTTTTGTGGCTATTTGTCTAGCCATGCGATGCTAGCTCCTATCCTCCAGTCATAAACTATTTGAAGAAAACGATGGAAATGGCGTCATTTCAGAGGATAATACTTTAGTTTTCAGGTGGGCATTAAGCAATCCGGCAATGTACAAATTTGGGCAGACGTTTTGGAGAACTTCGCACAACGCCCACGTTGGTGGTTATTTGGAGTGGTGATTCTTCTTCCACAAGTGCGGCAACCCAAGGTTGTGCAGTATCTTTGATCGGCTTTCAATTGAGGGAGAAGTGACCAGTGATTTGGTTTTCCTATTTTACCCTTGAAAATGGATGGGAAAATAGACTGAGGATTGTTTTGGTAAACTTTTGCATAGTTGGGGATGAATCTGAACAAACAAAATTATTAGTCATGGACCAAAGTGGTGAAATTCTCATAGTTGAAGGACCAAATCGGGTATTAACTCAATTGATTACCATTTTGTTCAAAACAAAGTTGCATATAGAGGTATTACTACTTATGTAGGCTCAAATGATCAATTAGCTTATATATTTACTAAATCTTTAAGAAGTCATCGGATTGAATATATTTGTAACAAGCTTGATGCATATGATATACATGCTCCAACTTGAGGGAGAGTATTGAAACACAAAAGTTTTGTCTGTAGAAATATGTTTGTAGAATTGTGTATATATGTATGTTGTCTCCCCATTGAGAGAAGAATGTTATACAACAAATTCCTCTTATCTTTCTTAACAACTAGGACAATCAATGGAAGCAAGGCTCAATTAACAAAAGTTTGCTCCTAAGAATACTAAAAGACAGATTTGAAAAGCACAATAATTATTCTCAACACCACGAAATCATTAGGAGTAAAGGAGTATAAAGATAAATTATATATGTCAAAGAAGTGATAAGGTGCACATAAGTACTTTTTACCTTTTATTGAGGGCAATGATAAGGTACAAATCAATTTATTTAATGAAGGTTTGGTTATAGGAATGAACGTAATTTGTGTTTGATTGATAATCAATTAGGAAGATTACAACCATAGGAATAAATAGATAACCTAACTAATAGGGTATTGACTAGGCAAGTATAACAATCTACCTAATATAACTAATGTTATTCCTAATACAAATAATGTAACAAAATATATCTTAACACTCGCCCTCAAGCTGAAGGTTGGAGAGAGACAACATTGAGCTTGTTGCGAAGAGCTTCAAAGCGTGGCGCTGGCAGAGGCTTCGTGAAGATATCGGCGAGCTGATCTTTCGTGGATACAAAGTTCACTTGAAAGTCTCCGGCGGCGACCTTGTCACGAACAAAATGAAAATCAATCTCGACGTGCTTCATTCGAGCGTGGAAAACAGGATTAGTGCACAAGTAAGTGGTGCCCAGATTATCACACCACAGAGTTGCGGGAGTGCCCGAATGGAGACCAAGTTCACGGAGCAGTGAGACAACCCATGTTACTTCAGCTGCAATGTCTGCCAACCCCTTATACTCTGCCTCAGTGGATGAGCGAGCAACGGTGCGCTGCTTATGGGAGACCCAAGAAATCAAGTTGTCGCCTAAAAACACCGCATACCCGCTGGTAGATTTGCGGTCGACCGGACACCCAGCCCAGTCGGAGTCCGAATAGGCATGAATGTCTGAAGAGGATGACATGGTGAGACGCAAGCCAAAGTCAAGAGTGCCTTTAATATACCGTAATACACGCTTCAAGAGGCCCCAATGATCAACTGTCGGAGAGTGTATAAACTGGCACAATCAGTTGATTGCGAAGGAGAGATCAGGGCGCGTAATAGTCAAGTACTGAAGCGCACCCGCCAGACGTCTATACTGAGTTGGATTATCAAAAACATCATCAGACGGCGTCACCGCTTTTGTGATGGAGGCCGGTGTGGCAAGAGGCTTGCAGTCGGTCATACCAGCCCGGTTGAGAAGATCACCCATATACCGGCGCTGAGAGAGAATCAATTTTCCGTCGTTAAAGAGTGTTTCAATGCCAAGGAAGAAAGTTGGTTTACTAAGGTCCCGGATTTTAAAGGTAGTCCCCAGACGCTTGAGCAGAGAGTCAACAAGGCCCGGATCATTCCCCATCATAATAATGTCGTTTACATAGACCAGTATAAACACTCCGGCGGGGCCGGCTGTGTAGTGAAATAAGGATACATCTGTCTTTGACGCCGCAAAACTTGTATTAAGCAAAAAATCATGAAGGCGCGTAAACCAGGCACGGGGTACCTGCTTAAGTCCATATAACGAGCGCCAAGGATGACACACATGGTCTGGGTGACTGGGCTCCTCATATCCCGGTGGCTGTCGCATGTAGACGGTCTCAGCCAAATGCCCGTTTAAGAAGGCATTGTGGACATCTAGTTGCCGTAGAGTTCAGTTCCGAGATACGGCAAGCGAGAACAACAGTAGCACTGTAGTCGGTTTCACAACGGGACTGAATGTATCAAAGAAGTCTTCCCCAGCTACCTGGTTGAACCCCTTTGCTACTAGTCGCGCTTTATAGCGTTCTATAGACCCGTCTGCCATCTGTTTGGTACGGTATACCCACTTGCAACCGATGTTATTCATGCCTGGCACTGCTGGGACAAGATCCCAGGTGTTGTTGTGAAGCAAGGCATTAAATTCTTGGTCCATGGCATCACCCCACTGTGGGTGACCAACCGCCTGGGAGTAGCAAGTCGGATCTGCAGTGTCTATGTTGGCGGTGAGAGCATGGAACTGTTCACCAGTGCCTTGTGTCATATGACGAAGACGCATCACATGAGCCCTCTGAGGCGGTTCAGTGATCCTACGTCTCCTTGGTGCACGAGGAGCCTCAATAGCCAAGTGTGGGGCCCCCTGCATGGCCGGTGGTGTTGGTGCGTTACTGATAGTTGGCACAACTGGACTTGAGCCCCACAGTATGACCGGTGCGTTACTGATAGTTGGCACAACTGGACTTGAGCCCCACGGTATGACCGGTGCGGCTGGTTGTGCGGTTTCCTGTGTTTTTGATTCTGTAGCAAAAAGGAAACACAGACTCGTCAAACCGCACATGGCGACAGATAAAAGTTTTTCCAGTAGTAAGGTTTAAACAACGATACCCCTTAAAGGACGTAGGATAGCCTAAGAAGACACACGGGGCAGACCTATACTCGATTTTGTGACGATTGTAGGGGCATAAGTAAGGGTAGCATAAGCACCAAAGACTCGAAGGAAAGTGTATGTAGGAGGCTTTTTGTGTATTTGGAAATATGGAGTGTTGAACTGTAGTGCTGAGTTAGGGAGGCGGTTTATGAGATATGTGGCTGATTCAAAAGCTGAGTCCCAGTATTTTAATGGAACGGACCCTTTTGCCAAAAGAGCTAGACCGGTCTCAACGATGTGTCGATGCCGGCGCTCAACGCGGCCGTTTTATTCGTGGGTGTATGCACAGGATTGCCGGTGTACAATCCCGAGAGTTTTGAATAAAGTTTGTAAACGACGTTACTCACCCCCTAAGTCAGACTGGATGGCCTTGATAGAACGTGAAAACGAACGTTCTACCATGGCCCGGAACTCATCAAACACTTTATATATATCAGTTTTTACACGAAGTGGATAAAACCAACCGAAACGAGTATGGTCATCCACGAATAAAACAAAATATCTAAAACCATCTGCAAAAATAACGGGTGCAGGTCCCCAAATGTCCGAGTACACTAGATCTAAAACAGCAGTACTGGTGTAATTTATTCTATCTAAAGGAAAACGACTAGACTTGCCGAGCTGACAAGCCGAACAAAGACTCGGGGAACTCAATTTTTGTGGTGTAACCGGACAAGACTGGAGTGCACGTTGCAAGACACGGGCGTGCGGGTGGCCTAATCGACAATGCAAACGGCGGAGGAAGCTCGAGCCGACAGAAACGCCAAATGCGACCGTGGAATTGTTAAGGAGTAAAGACCACCCGAACTGGGACCCTTAAGCAACACCCCCTTGGTTATGCAATCCTTTACAACATAATAAGTGGGATGAAATTCGAAAAACACGTTATTATCAGTGGTAAACCGATGAACAGACAATAACGAAACCGAAAGATCAGGAACATGCAAAATATTTGACAATTTTAAAGATTTAGAAACTGACGGTATCGTTGCACAACCAATACTAGAAATACTCAAACCTGTGCCGTTTCCAACACGGAGGACGTCGTTGCCGGAGTAGTCCTCGGATTGCGACATCATGGCCGGATCTAGAGTGGCATGAGAGTAAGCTCCGGTGTCGGGATACCAAGACGCAACCTCCTGCTGCGCCATCGAACCACCATCGGCGTTGACGGCCATGTGCGCCTGCGGGGCTGGTGGCTGCTCGGAGTATCGCCGGAAACAATACATGGCTGTTATGGTTCAACGGCTAGTGAATAGCTTACTTCAACCCCTCTTGGTCGTTATAGTATGCCTTTTGTAATAGGATTAGAGATCTTTTCCTTTCCAGGTAATGAATTGGTGATAATATTTGTAATTCAATGTTCTTATGGAAAGATAATCTTCAAAGAGCTTGAAATTGGCAATTATGAAATACCACTCCAAGTTAAGAGAATAACCTAAAAACACACACTTCACAGATTTAGGATTCAACTTGTAGACAAATATCCTGTACAAAACAAGTGTGTAGGTAGAAGCATTGGAAGTAAAACTTATAGTTCTTATTGATCATACTCAATAATATATATATATATATATATATATATATATATATATATATATATATATATATATATATATATATATATATATATAAAATACAATAATAGGGAAAGAAAAACGACCTCTGCACCCGAGCTAGCATAGTGGTTGATCATCTGGCCTCAACTCATAACTGGAGGCGGTAAGGTAGATGTTCGAACCAAACCTCAAACATCATTGGAGTTGAGCTTCCCAAGTAGAAAATGGGCTTCCTAGGTTAGAGTTGGGTGTGGGTTGGGCTCCTTGTGCGCATTATAAGGCGGATGGCTGATTGAAAGGCTGCTCATGCGACTCGGATTTACATCCTCTAGTGACTCTTGGGTGGGGAACTAGAAGCTAGTATTAGTCTTGCAGAAGTTGGGAAACCTATGTATTAAAAAAAAAAAAAAAAAAAAAAAAAAAAAAAACACTACATTACCTAGCACTATTCAAGGAATCAGAATAATTACACAATTATAGGAAACAATATTATCTCCTAATTCAAAATAAAATCTCCTAATAATATACAACCTAACATCCTATATATAGGTATTGGATCAAATGAAAATTGCCACCCAGGTAAAAACTGAGAACTCATCTTGACTACCAATTTGAGAATGGTCAATGGCTCTAAAACAAGGGAAAAATGCGATGACATTTTGGTAAATATTTCAAACTTAAAAGTGCATTATGTACAACTGCAAAACGCACTAAGCAATGCTACAAAGTTTACCCAGTGACATGTTCAGTGCAACCTCTTGAATGCACTTCTACATATCATTGGATGCAATTTGCATTCTGCATAATGCACTTTAAAGTTTGAAATATTTACCAAAATATCATCGTGATTTTTAGATCAACAGCTAAAATGAGTTTGTAATTTTTACCAGAGAAGTGGTTCTCACAGGATTCAACACAAGATGGGCATGAACATAACTACTCCAATTTTTTTTTTTTCCAAATGTGTTATAGATTGCTCGGCGCTTGTTGGGTAAACTTTTGATTGATGTGAGGAATGCACGTGAAGAGGCTATCAGTGTAGCTGAATTGAAGAGAAATCAGGACCATAATTCACTAGTTGGTAAGACTGGTAAAGAACTTGCAGAGCTTCTCAAGCCTCATGCAAAAACTGAAGACTCTAGAAGAACTACTAGCTTTGCTAGTGAAATATCAGTAGATCAGGATGATGATGATGATAAGGAGACCAAGTATCGCTTGGACCCAAAGTAAGTATTTTATATATGACATAATCACCAACTCGATCTCCAAAAAAGTACATATCATGGGTGGTTGACCAGCCCAGCCCAGAAAAATTGGCATAATTTGAAATGCATGCTTGTATTACATAAATTTCACAATATCTTATTTCAGATATGCAAATGTGAGAACACCAGAGCGGCATGTCAGGACACGCCTTTACTTTACATCAGTGAGTACTTTGTATTATACTGCTGTTAATATTTTTCATACATTAATTTATCTATCTGGGATAGAATGATTTTTCTTTCATTTGTCAACCATCTGTATCTACTGAACTATTGGCAGGAGTCTCATATTCATTCTTTAATGAATGTGCTGCGTTATTGCAATCTGGATGAATCTCTTCAAGGAGAGGGAAGCCTTGTTTGTAATAGTGCTTTGGAGAAATTATTTACAACAAGGGAGCTTGACTACATGAGCTACATTGTATTAAGGATGTTTGAGAACACAGAGGTTAGTATTTCTTTAATGTTGAAACCCGCAGCCACTACTCGAGTGTGTGTATTGGGTAAACTCAACAAAGGACCACAAGGAGGAAACTAACTCAATAACTGACTGGCTCAAACCAAGAGGGATGGGATTCGAACTCGTGACCTTGTAGTTACAAGTTTGTATCATTACTCAGCTTGGCTGGGGTTACCCGTGTATAGGTAATTCTTCATTTCATGATTGTGTGCAGTTGGCACTAGAAGACCCGAAAAGGTATCGCATTGAAATGGAATTTAGCCGTGGTGCAGATATATCGGCATTGGAGGTAAGGCATTTTATTCATAGGGGTGGGGGGTTTTCTTTGTAAGGAACAATTGATGTATGTAATGTAATTGTTACGTTGCAGGAAAACGAGTTGGAGTTGGAGGCTACTTCATGGTATCAGGAGCACAAGTTGGCAATAATGGGACCTGAGAGGCTTCAAGAAATTGGGTCATATCTAACATTGGAGAAGTTGGAGAAGATGATGCGTCCATTTGCGATGCCAGCTGAGGATTTCCCGCCACCATTAACACCGCAAGGATTTTCAGGCTACTTCTTGAAAAGTGCTGCAGTTCTAGAGCGATTAGTAAATCTTTGGCCGTTTCATAAGTATGGCAACACTAATGGTACAATTCTAAATTCACTCCTTCTAATGTCTGCCTTGTCTGTCTTCAATTGAAAAGCCATTTATTTTATGTAATAATTCTGGAAATGAATTTGCAGAAAAACGGCGTGGAGGGGGGTCAGGAGCACAAGTTACCAATAATTGGACCTGAGCTACTTCCAAGAAATTGGATAATTGTTGGCGAAGATGTTGCGTTTATTTCTCATGCTAGCAGCTCAACTTTTCCCAGTGCGACAAGGATTGGATTTTAATTCTTCATTCATGTAAAATAAAACGAGAACGAACTTGACAAAAGGATGAAATGGTTTTCATATGAGCCAACTCGATAAATATGTATAATGATGCTCTATCTAAATTAATGCACAGTTCATCAGGCAATTTGCATTTGGTGTAAGGTAGGAGAGATAGACAACAAACTAGTAATTGGTATGCAATAATAATCAAGGTTGCAGAAGGCGCTAGTCGGCACCCGACACTTAGATGCTGTCTAGGCGATCGAGTAATAATAATAAAAAAGTAATAATATGCTCAAGCTGCTCTACACAGTTTACAAGCTTGAGCAACGTGGAGTCTCCATTGCCCATTGTCCAAATCTTCTAGCTATCTAGTTGCCACAACCACACTCCATGTTGTCATAGTCGCCACAGCCATCTAGCCTGAAGGTTTGCGACTCGACCGAGTTAGGCGCCACACCAACTCAATCGAGTTGGGAACCTAGTCGGCCAGCCGACTTAAAGGCGCCTAGGGGTGAAATCCCCTTGGTCTAAGGGTGCCTAGCGCCTAGGCGGCCGCCTAGACTGATTTTTACAACTCATAATAATGCAATGCACTGCAAAAAGGCGCCACGCCGACTCAATCGAGTTGGGAACCTAGCCGGCCAGCCAACTTAAAGGCGTCTAGGGGTGAAATCCCATTGGTCTAAGGGTGCCTAGTGCCTAGGCGGCCTCTTAGACTGATTTTTACAACTGATAATAATGCAATGCGCTGCACAAAGAACAAATGCAAAATTGTAAAACATTCAAGCTAGAAAGCAATAAGTGGAATGACTCCCCTCTGTAAACTGAAATGCACCAACTGCTTCTGACTTCTCACTAAAACATCTCTCAAATCTGAAGAGTATAATAGGTGTACCATAATCTAAGTTGAGGAGCTACAATACAAAGCTCTTACTCTCAAGAGAATGGTGTAAGCAACCCATTATCTCAGTTAAACTAAATTTAATATAATGAAACAAACTTGAGCTTTACTCATAATTCCACTCTAATTTCACACTGCATTTACAAGGGCAACAATTTTGGGAAGGAATGAACGAACACAAGCGAAAAGAGGAACCTCCACCTGTCGCATCCACCCAAGGCTGATTTAGGGACTGAAGCAATTCTATGACCTCAACCAGATAGCTGAAGAGAGGAGCACAAAGGCTAGCTGAGGAGACAAGGTACAATTATGCCCTCTACCAATCAAGTAAACTTTCTACTTTCTAAGGACAACTAGAGGCAAACAAACAAACAAAATGGGGGATCATATGTTGAATCAGTAGGGAAATTGAAGAATCTTGACAATAGATCAAATACAGCAAGCAATACACTGATTAAGAGGAAAGAAGAATATCTAGATTGACATCTATCTATGCAGCTATAAAACGGTTAATTTCACAAAATTAGCTCCAGAAGAACTCAAGATTTTGCAATGGATGGAGTCTTAAGCATCTGCTTTATTGTGTGTGCTCTTACCTCTAATTAATTATAAAAGCAAATAAATATCCATCTATCTATCCAAGTTTACAACACAATATGCTGTTGTGAAGCCCATCTCATTCATTGGGTAGAATTTCTCAAAATGCAGTGTTTCTGGCCTTCTTAGCACAAGATATGAGTTAACAGCTATTATTTGGTGAGATGAACCCACTCATAAAGACATGTATCTAAGATGTACAAGGATAAAGACTGTTTCTTTATAGTCAAATAACATGAAAGAGGTTGGTTCATTACATTACAGTTTATACTTTATACTCAACATGAAAATAACACCCACCCATAGTGTTCTTTTTCCCTTTATTTGATTGAAATTAATGGTTCTTTACCCAATAAAATAAGAACAAGCATCAAGCAGCAAATTTGGGGACTTCCTTATGCTGGAGGATCTTCCTTTCAAGCTCATCTTTCTTGGCTCCCACTACCCTACCCACCTCCTTGCCTTGCTTCAGCAGTAAGAACGTGGGCATCGCCTGCACTGAAAACTCCTGGGCCACATCCTTAAACATACATACCCAAAATATTCAGAATTAGCAAACAAATTGGAACAAACAAAAACCGGATCAGAGGGATTTGTTGCTAAATTACATACCGAGAGCTCATCCACGTCTATCTTTATGAAATCAACGTCGGTGAACTTGCTCGCCATTTGTTTGACGAAAGGCTCCATCATCTTGCAGGGCCCGCACCATGCTGCCGCGAAATCCACCACCATCTGTATTGTATACATGCGTGAAGATACAGAAAATTATATGATATGTATTAGATGATGCCCTAGAACTCGGATCTTCAAAGGGGATGGGGAATACCAATTTATTGAGTTGTTTGGAGGCGTTGAAGTGCAGCTGCCATCGTTGAGATGAATGAAATGCAGTCACCCGAGACGGTTCGGACGACGATGACTCATCGGTTGTTGCCGCCGCCGCCCCATCGCCACCCACCACATTCGACAGAACCCCTCCCATTGCGTGCTCTTTCCCCTCTCTGTCTCTCTCTCTCCTCTCTCAACTTAAGAGGGTCAACACTCAATAGAGAACCTTTATCCCAACACAAGTATGCCACTCTGATACAGATAGCAACAAATATTCGCCACTTCCCCAAATGTTTTCAAAGGAATATATTGGACAGAATAATTTTACAAAAAGAATTACTTTTAATTAAATGTTCAATATTATAATAGATTATACAATGTAATAGAGTCATTAGTATTCAAAAAAAAAATGTCTAGTATTACTTTCAAAACATATCTGAGCGTGCTTAGCCATCTTTGACTAGTTTAAACTTATTCATTTTTTTTTTAATCTTTAATATATCTATTGGGTGAGACGCTGGGGTATAAATATTTTAATATGGACAACCGACCTATAGTGATTTGTCACAATATTTTCATTAGATGTTCAGTGAAGTTCAAAATATATATAGTGATTTAGTCTATATAACCAGTCCAATCAAAATTATGAAGGTATAATTAAGGAAGGATAAATTGAAGCAAAATGACATGAAGTTGTATTTCTCTCTCAATTTATTGATGATGTAGTATTTTAATCATATCTCGGCACAGAAATGTTCAAATCAAGTAATTCTTGAACCAGTGAAAAATAACTCAAAAGGCTACAATTTTTATGAAGATCATCAAGTTTGATTCAGATGTTACCATGGTCAAAAATGGCATGGAAGACAACAATACATAATTTTCCACAAGAGAATGTTATAACTTTGGGAAATATATTACATAAGCTTGAAGACAACTTAGAGCATTCATAATAGTAGAATTATTTTATTTATTTTTCTTTTGTGATTTTTGAGGAGTTTTTGTAAGTGTGATTAGGAAAGCGAATATGGGAGGAAAAAGAAAAAAAAATAAAACCAAATTGATTTTAACAAAAATAAAAATAAAAACAAAAACAGAAGGAATGGGCAGCGCACTTGTGACACCCACGCGGCCCGCGGGGCCCGGCAAATTTCTTCAGTGGGCCACATTTTTGCAAAAAAATACCTTCCTTGCAGAGGGATCCCATTTCTCTCTCTCTTACTTTCTCTCTCCACCATATTACCAAACACGGTTCAAAAAACTCCTATAAAATGCACTTATGTGCATGCTCTTATAGGGAGTTGGTGGCAAATTATATAAAGGAAAACATATTTTATAGATAAATTATTAAAGTGGATGAGAAAAATTTTCATTTTATTCTCTAAATCCTAAACTTTAAGTTATTTACAAGATTAGACCCTAAATCTCAACTATAAATACCCTAGTCATCTACCATTCTCATCAATCTCAAAATCACTCAAACCACTTATAGCTATTATTATCCTAGTAAGAGAGAAAATCTCTAAAGTTTCATCTTTACTACATAGAAAGAGCTTGTAATATTCTCCTTATAGTGAAAGTACCTTCTTCTTTGCCCGTGATTTTTATGTTATTGGGGGTTTTCACGTAAAATCTTCGTCCTCTTTATTATTATCCCCCATATTAGCAATTAATATTTTGTTCATATCGTGTAGGTGAGAATCAATTTTGGTAGAATGACCTTACATGTTTAGGAAAATCTCTTGTTGAGACTTCGTATTTAAGTAGTCCATTTGTGACCCACCCATGTTCTCTAAAGTTATTTTCTTGGTGTATTGTTCATAAAGTCATTATTATTCCACTATGCGATACTGTTCAAACATACCATAAATTATTCATTGGACATACGGTAGTGTTGGCCTACCGTTGACTACCCCGTAGTCATGAAACCAACAATATCATTCCTATATACAAACATTAACAAAAAACATAACTAATAATTGAGAGTTTAATAAATTATTTGTTTATATATATATATATATATATATATATATATATATATATATATATATATATTTATATATATAGGGAAGAGATCATGTGCAAAGGAGTTCTCAAGTAAAATATGGAGAGAGATCTGAACTGTTGATTTTGATATGATTAACTTGGCATCTTATACTAGCAAAAACAACATGCGAGAAAGCTTAAAAAGGACAAGACCATATCATATTGGAGATGCTATCCTTCAATGTATCCTACTCGATCATTGTATTTAGTTTTCCGTCATATCGAATTCTCTTCCTGAATGCAAGAGATACAAAACTTATAAACCTAAAGAACAAAACTTATGCACCATATGATTTTAAGTCATGCACAGTTATGCATCATACGCTGCAAAGTCATGCAAATTAATTTTAAAATTATGCACTTTAAGTTTCAAAGTTATGCACCTGAAAGTGTAAAGCTTGTGACCTTCCGTTTGGAAGTGCCACAACAATGCCATCAAACCACAAGATATCTGGCTCAAAGTCTAAAGTTATGCACTTGTAGATTCAAAGTTGTGCACATGAAGGGTCAAAGTTATGCACATCGAAGTTTAAAGTTGTGTACTTGAATGTTCAAAGTTATGCGCCTAAAGATTTAAAGTTATGCACTTCAAAATTTAAAGTTATACACTTGAACGTTCAAAATTATGCACCTGAAGGTTCAATGTTATGCATCCGTAGGTTCAAAGTTATGCACTTATTCAAAGTTTTGTACCTAAAGATTTAAAATTATGCACCCAAAGGTTCAAAGTTATACAGCTGAAGGTCTAAAGTTATGCATCCGTAGGTTCAAATTATGCACCTGAAGGTTCAAAATTATGCACAAGTAGGTTCAAAATTATGTAACCAAGGAATAAGACTTGTGCACT